AAAAGTTGGCAGGTTGACGTGGAGGTCGAAAGAAAAGGAGAAGATGGAATAGAAAGGAGAAGAAGGAAGAAAGAAAGAGAAAGAGGTGTGTGAGAGAGGTTTATGGTAGATATGAGAGAGAAGAATATGGAGACGAAGGGACGGACAGACAGGGGAGAGCGTAGCAGAGAAAAGGCTGAAGATTCCGGGTGGCCACCCACCCCCGGGAACCCGTTGAGTATATAAGAAGCAAGCAAGATGCAGACTTTGAGTGATGCAGAGAAAAGCGCTGCATAGACTCGGGTTGGAGCGGGTATGGCTGGACTATTGGTGCGCGGCGGGCCTCATCTCGCGTGCTGTACTGCTTGCCAGCTGGTACTTGATGCTTGCTTGCTTGCTTGCTTGCCGCGACTACTACGTCCATGCCATGGCAATGACCTTGACCATGAATGATGCCGGCAACGCTGGTTGGGCTTCTGCTCTGGCCGACTGAACTGGCTGGCTGAGCTGGGGGTTGAGTGGCGGAGCAGAGCGCCAGCAGGACATAAACGGAGAGGGAGGCAAAGAGGAAGACACTAGGAGAGTCAGAAACAAGACATGGACGGGAGCTTGCATGTCGCGCATGCCCCTTGTCGGCCGCTGGGTTGGGTTGGTGTGCGAGCCTGCGCCGGGCTGTCATAGAGTGAGTGAATACAGTCAAATGGCATAGAGAAAAGCAACTTTTGCAGTGTTGCTGGCTGCAGCAACTAGACAGACGGGGGGCCGGAGGGACGGAGGGGAAAACAAGGGGTGGTACAGGACAAGGACTGTAGCGTAGGGAGGCGTAAAAAAAGAAGAGCCAAGCGGACCCGGGACGGAGAGAAGCGGAGATGGCGGAGACGGGCAGCAGGAGAAAAGAAGTAGAAATTCATTCATTCAATTCGAGTGGATATGGGATACCGAGTCAAGTCAATGGATGATGAAAGATGGATGATGGAAGACGGGGATGAGATGGGTTTGAAGGCTGCGGTATGGATGATGGGGCATTGAGCATGGGGCAGGGACAAGGGACAGACCGACAGGGGTGGTGCCTTCCTTTCCTTTTTCCCCCTCCACACGCACTCCACGGCTGTCAGTTGCGGCGCAGGAAGGTACCAGACCGTCTATCCCAGTGTCTCTTTCCAAATTCGCACTGTTGTCCGCTCACCTTGGCTCTAGGAGCACGGAGCTTTTTTGCTTTTCTCACCTCAACCGACGACCACGAGGTAAAGAGGCCGGCCGTTGAACAGCCCAGCCCAGGGGGTTCACCTTCTTTTTTTTTTTTTTGTCTTTGCCTCTGTCATCTCGGTCTCGTTCCTTTTGCTCCGGGTAAGCTGAATGACTCGCCCGAGTGGTGATTGAGTTCAATAGTTGGTATCCCAGCTGACCGTATCCATCGGCCATGAAATCGTAGCTTAGCATTCAGGATCGTCTCCCTTGAATATAAGAGGATGGTCCTGAGAAAGTTGGATGGGCGCCAACCATAGACCCTCGACACTTCAGCTGCGTCAATGTGCACCAACTCCCGGTCCGTCTCCCAATAATACAGTGTGCCTCTAAGCTGCAGTTGGCACTTGACTCTGGCTTGCGTATGGGCGTCACCTTGCCTACGTCAGGTAGCCATGCTTTGGTAGCGGCGCTGACAGCTGGAAATCCCCAAGGATGGATGGATGGACTGGGGTTTGACGACGAGAGAGTCAAGAACAAAAAATTTTTAAATGGTTGTCACATGGAACCCCCAAAGTCAACCACTTACAAGCAAGCAGCAAGGTCTTGAAATGCAGTGCCGTCTTGACAGCCGACAGCTCCGGGGTTGCACAGCGGCTGAAAAAAAGGAGGATAGCCAGCCGATCAACGTCCACCGCATCTTCTGGGACGCAGGAGGAGAGATGTCCTCGACACTGCGCCGGGACTGAACTAGGGTGTCGATGTCGTAGGGTCGCGGCCCAGGGTCTGGAGTCGGTTGAGAGGGGCCAGTGACAACGGCCGTCGACGATAGGCGGCCCCGCTACGGAGCCTTGCTTCTGGGACAGAGAAGCATGGATGGCAAGGATATGATGGCATGGCATGGCATGGCATGGGCATGGGGGATTGGATTTACCGCCCAGAACCCTAGCCTGGTCGGTAGACTAACTAGCACTGTACGACAACATGTATGTACGTGCATGATGCAGATTAGATTAGTGAGATACGTGTGAGACGGCGGCGAAGGAGGAAATAAGGAAAAAGAAAAGTTTCGACAGAGCTGAAGGGGGGAATGAAAATGGGAAAAAGAAAGCAACGGGGTGCCATGCCATGGGTAGAGAGAAAAATTGGACGCCATGATGGTGGTTAGTTGACAGTTGGCATTTGACAACTAAGCTAATGATAACTGATGAAGAAACAGCAGAAACAATACAGTTTCATATTTGGTCTCATGTCTTGTACTGTAACATACGTCAACATGTTATTTTTATCTAGACTCCTCCCGTCCCGCGGTAGTGTTAGGTAGTGTCCCGTCCCAGAAATCCCCAAATCCTCCGTAGGTCGTCCGTCTCGGCATCTCCCGCTTCCTTAGCTCCCTTGTGAGCAAGCAATCCCACTCACCTCTCACTTTTCCTGCACGTTTTGGCACTCGCAGATCGATCCTCCTCAAATCTCCAATCCCACGTCGGCCCCAACTACAGCACGCGTGCAGCAGTAGCAGCAAGCACCAAGTCACACACACACTCTCTAGCCCGGGCTGACTGGCCCGCTGGACTAACTAGTCGGGACGGAACATTTCCTTGCCTCGTGCAGACCGGAAAACCTCATTCGGGCCCCATCCATTCTCCAAGCCAGTCGTGTCTTGCAGTATCCTGCAGCCTGCCAACCGGTGTCACTAATTGACTTGTTTGTGATTGTCTGTAAGTCGAACCATTGATTGTGTCTTGTTCCAAAAGCCACCCTATAGCCAGTCTTTGCGACGTCGGACAAGGAAGCAAGAAAAAAAAAAGAGGCTTGTGCTGACTTGGCAAAAAAGCAGATCCTGCAGAATTTTTTTTTTCTGCCGCCTTTGCGCAAAAGTACATCACACTACAATCTCTATCTACCTTGACTCCCAATCCGATCACGACACGGCGCAATCATGAAGAGCAAGCGCGCAAGAGAAGCCGTCGAGGCTGAGGACAAGCACGTCACTCCCGTCAATGTCGAGGCTCCCCCCAAGAAGCGCAAGCGCAACGACGACGATGCCAACACCGCCGACGTGAAGAAGAAGGCCAAGAAGGAAAAGAAAGACAAGAAGCACAAGAAGGAGTCGCGCAAGGAGCGCAAGGACAAGCGAAAGAACCTCCAGGACCTCCCGGAGCAGGACGACGATGAGGAGGTGGTGGACGAGCCTGCTGCTGCTGCTGAGGATTCTCCAATGGCTGATGCCGATGTCAAGCCCGCTTCTGCGACTGCAGACGCCGCAGATTCGGACAAGGCCGCAAAGAAGAAGAAGAAGGATAAGAAGAACAAGGACAAGGAATCACAACAAGAGGAGGAGGAGCCTACTGCTGATGCTGAAGCCAACGACGAGTCCAGCAGCAAGAAGAAGAAGAAGAGCAAGAAGGACAAGAAGTCCTCTTCCGAAACCACCACCAACGACAACAACAACAACGAGGCCATACCCAACGGCGCCGAAGCGGACACGGCCGCTGCCGACGCCGATTCCAAGGCGGACCGCCACATCGTCTTTGTCGGCAACCTCCCCTTCACCGCCACCGCCGACACCATCCAAGCCCACTTTGCCTCGCTCTCCCCCATCCACGTCCGCTGCATGAGCGACCCTAACGACTCCAAGCCGTGCCGGGGCTTCGCTTTCGTCGAGTTCGCCAAAGTCTGGCATATGCGAACCTGCCTCGACAAGTTCCACCACTCCATGTTTGAGGATGGTGTCTCTCCCGCACGTCGCATAAATGTCGAGTTGACGTGAGTTTCTTTTCAACCCTGTTTCTTTTCTCTCAAGTGTCTCACTCCTACACCCCTCCCTCCTCTATCTCACTCATTACCCCCCTCTCTCTTGATGCATCACATTTCCTGCGGTTTGCTTCCTCCTCTTAGTGTGCCTTGTGTAACACTCCAAATCCGCCTCCATGGCTTGCTTGGTCACATCCCGTTGAGTCACGCTCATCACCACCTGACCGATGCGGCCCGTGTATCTCTTCATGAGTGGTCATATGCATGAACAGCAAAAAGCCCGCCCGCAGGAGAGAAGCCATTGACAAATCGAAACTCTCGCAACTCACTTTTAGGAACATGATGGCTGACCCCTCTGTGTAACAGTGCCGGTGGAGGCGGCAAGACAAAGCGCCGTCAGGAAAAGATCCAGGAGAAGAACCGCAAGCTCGACGAGAACCGCACCAAGAGAATCCAGCGCGAGAAGAATGCCAAGGTGGAGGCCAGAGCCAATACCGACCAGGAGCAGCACATGGAGGACGCCATCCATCCTAGCCGTCGTGGTCGTGTCCCCGGTAACGCTTGGTAGGACCTGAATGCCAGAGATCGTCGCCGGCTGCGTCGTCATTTTGAGCCTGGCGCATAGTTGTTATGAGGAGTAAGCGTAATGTTGTCCTTGAAGCAGTCTAATGAATCAAGTTTTGGACGGATACACAAAAGTTGGTATGCATTTACTTCGTACAAGATAGAGAGATACCCCAAGGAATTGGATCATGACCTCGCAAGGCTGTATATCCAGATCATGAGTGACTGCCAGTGATGAAACTACCCATTGCCATCGTGTCTATTCGAGATATAACTAGTAACAAAGCCAAAGGAGCTTCTACCAATCTGGAACCCTGGTCAATCTCAACTGTCTAGACGAATCGCAAGCCCTTCTTCCATGACTTGAACTCATGATGAAGAATAAGGAACTCGCCTACATTAGACTTCTCATCTAGCAGCCATAGTCCACGCCGCCAACTTACACCAGACTTGAGGGCCAGCCACTTGCCTCTGAGGCCAATGAAAACGAAGATATCTTCACTTGTAGAACGGAGATTCCGAAGCCAGTCCATTCTAAGCCATGATGGCCAACTTGAGGGCATGCTGAAACGACCATGGAGAGCAAGGTAATGTTTAAACTCGTAGACTCAACAGTCCACAATCAACACAAAGCAGTCACAAAGTCCCAAGAACAAGCCATCTCGCTCGTCTCTCTCCATCATAGCGTCACGGTGAAGTAGTCATGCAGAATAGAATGCTCCAAAAATGCAACCCGGTTCTTGAATTACTCGCAACGTCGGTATAAACTCCTCCGCGAGGAGGAAACAGGTGAGAGATATGAGCAAACAGAAAAAATGTGGAGATAAAAATTGAACCGCAGATAGAAAGGACCAAAAGTCATTCAAGAACCGCCTCGCATATACCATCATGATATGCAGTTGTAGCTGTTTAAGTTGTGTGTGTGAGAGGTTGAGGGGTGTCCTTTAGAGTAGAAACTCCCCCAGGATATTCCGTTATAGCCGCCGTCTTTGTATCGCCAAATCGTCGATCATTTGTCCAGAGCCGTCATGTCATTTTGCGTCGTCGAGACGCCTTGGTTGAGAAAATCAAACAAGCGCGTGGGCTACCCGCGCGCGGTGCAAGGTTGGATATCTACAGGATCGAGCACTTCTTATTTTTGGGGGCCTTGCTAGTCTGAGTCCGAGGGTTAAGGACAGCCCTGGAGCCGGGTTAGATGGTTGAGACACACAAACTCGGGACAAAACCTACCGAATAGCCTCGTCGAAAACGCTCTTAAGGTTCCTTTGAGTCAGAGCGGAGCACTCAAGGTACTTGTAGGCCTTGATTTCCTTGGCGCAAGCCAGCGCCTGTTCGTACGACACGGGCTCCATACGCTTTTGGCGGAGGGACTCGAGTGTAGCGGCGTCTTCTCGAAGATCGAGCTTGGTTCCGACCAGGATGATGGGGATATTGGGCGCATGATGGTCGATCTCGGGGTGCCACTAGAGCTTGTGTCAACGGGACTCGGGTTCTTGTTCGCTGCGTCGTTGGTCGTTTCATCGTACCTTGGCCTTGACGTTGTCAAAAGAGGGGGGGCTGACGATGGAGAAGCAGATGAGGAAAACGTCGGTCTGGGGGTAGGACAGAGGTCGCAGTCGGTCGTAATCTTCCTGACCGGCGGTATCCCAGAGACCCAGGCTAATGGGCTTGCCATCCACCATCACACTCGCCGAGTAGTTATCGAAGCTGCGTCACAGGTTGCATCAGCCATGATGTTCAAGATGTTATCGGCGGGAAAAGCGGGAACCAACACGGTGGGGATGTATTCGCCAGGGAAGGCATTCGTGGTGTATGAGATGAGCAGACAAGTCTTGATGCAAAGTCAGTAAAGAGCTTGCAGCTACCGCATCAGACGGCGATGCTTTGATGTCGAGACGAACCTTGCCAACTGCACCATCACCAGTCACAACACACTGCATCAGCGGTCAGCCACCCAAGGTATTGCGTCAGACAACCAGCGACCGACAAACCTTCAACGATTGCACGCCGGGCTGAGCCATTGTTGCGATGGGCTGTAGAAGGGATCGGAAGAGGTTCGGCCGTAAAAGTCACTCGTGATTTGCCGGGGCGCAGGTCGAGATGCGAGATGGGATGGCGGACAATGAGTTTGTGATGGAGTCGTCTAGATGTAGAGTAGAGCCCGAGGAGAGGGGAACGACAATGACGAAGCGAGGACGGGGGCTCGGAGTGCGACGGTGAAGCTGGCGATGAGATAGGTAAGCGACGGTGGGACTCGAATCGCTCGACAAAAGTTTCAAGGCTGCATAAAATCAAAGAGGAAAGGTCAGAGCGAGCAAACTTGACACGAAACCGAGGTGTAGTTCACGCGTTTTGTGCCGCAGAAAGGTGAGGCCACAGGAGGAGGTTCAATGATGGGAGCGATCCACCACAGAGAGAGCAGAGAGCAGACCAGAGCAGAACAGAGACAGACAGACAGCCAAGGAGAGACCGCCCGCCCGGACGACGCCAGCCAGAGAGGACCACGAGAGAGGCGCCCAGGATAGCCAGTAGCCACCGCCGGTGCCACCTTAGCCTGCTAAGGTCCCCTGCTAGAGACAGTCCTAGCCTTGCCAACAGCCCGCTGGGCTGGCTGGGGGACAAGGGGGCCTTTCGGGTGGTGCTCCTGTGCCGCTCAGAGTGTCGGAGCTTCTGGACAATCACGGCCTCTGGAGGAGCTCTGCTGGACAGCTCTAGGCGCCTTGGGAGTGGGGGGTGATACAGGGGGTCCCCTACGGCCAACCAAGGTACGCGGAATGATTGATGGAGGAGAGGGAACCTGCCTTTGCTTTGCGGTTTGTGTCTCTGATAACGCTTCTTGTCGATGGCCAGCTGTGGCTGGGGATGGCTTCGGAGCGCGCCGAGATGAGGTGAGAGAGGACTGAAGACAACGACGGGACACAAAATACTGCAGTGACACTTCAATGTAGGGAGAAGCAGTAACAACAATCCTAAAAAAGGCACAGTAACGGGTATTCGCAGGAGCTGGTGGGATGGATAACTCGTGGCTGTTGTGAATGGAAGGAAAATGGTGGAGGCGGGCGATCTTCTGTGCGCGGACGTCGCATGTGAGGTACCTAGGTAAGGTGTACCTTGCGTCGGTGTGAGTACCCTCAGGCTAAGAAACAACACCAACCGCCGTCTTGTCCACCCGTTTTCTTGGTCCCAAAAGGTGGTCGGGGGATTGTGGATCGGTGGCGGGGGGAAGTGCAGAAGCAGTTGGACGGTTGCAATCGTTGAATGGATTTATTTTAAGCCATTATGATGCACATTGACGGGGATGGCGCTCAAGTACGACCAGGGCCAACAATGGGCATGACACAAGAATTCCTCGGTTTGCGTAGAGTACCTCAGGTGCAGGAAGACGTCAGGACAGGCAGGACGTTGCTTTGGCCAAGAGAGGCTGGGAATAGTAGGAAATGTGACTGCCTGCCTACCTACATTTCACACGCATGGAGGGTAAGTCAGGGGTTAAAGCCTCAATCTCGAAACGAATCACCATTGTTGTCCCAAATGGATGCCATTCAAGTCATTCCTGACGCTTATCTGAACGTTGTGATTCAACTTCACGCACTTTTGCGACGTATGGAAGCGTCATGAATATATACCAAAGATTGAAGATCGTCACTCATCCAATAACAAGGATCGATAGCTCAGTGGTACGAGCGAGGGATTGCAGATCCCTAGGTCGCGTGTTCGATCCACGCTCGGTCCTCATACCTTTCTTTTTGCCCTCGCTTACTCTTTTGCCAGCTTACATTTTGATCTACAGTTGAGCGTCTCACTGATTCCCCTCGCTTGTAAGATTTCAACAAGTTACAACTCCGAGGTTAACCGGAACTAAGAATTGCTTCTCTATGCCACCTGTTGGGAATCAATATCAAGTGAGTAATTGGCGACAAGTTCCCATCGCTCTCAGTCCCTGCAGTTCAGATCTCAACGTAGATCTCCACTATACCGGCTGCTAACTGCCGTGTAAGTCTTGCAGTTCATTCTCTCAAACACCATGGCTTCAGGCGCATTCTCTTCTTTCTCGCCATGGCATATCCCGCCCCTCTTTATCGCCAGTGCGTTTACCCTTGGCGGTCTTCTCCCCTTCTTGAACCCAGCCCGTGCCATTCGCGAGTTCGGGTTACCAGAGGGCATAGCCAGGTCTCAACCAGCGCATACATGTTTCGCCGTATACGGATCCCGGGTATCCATTATGGGCCTTTCCATGTGGATATTTTATCTACGAGGTGAACTCAAGACACTGGATACGTTGATGGCCCTTCTGTTCTGGGCCGGTGTTGCAGATGGATACCTGTGCTGGAAGGAGGGCGTTCCGGGCAAAGCGCTGTTCAGATTTTCTTCTGGTCTTGTCGTGGGCGGCTGGGGGTTCCTTGGGTTGACTTCAAGGGGTTGATTGTGCGTCTCGACTGACTCGAGTCAATGAATATTGTAACCTACCTATTCGGGCGATGGGGGCACTCAGGCCGATGTTCGGCACTGAAGTCTAAATCTAGCCTTTCGGGAAGTTATCTTATAAACTCACCAATTTGTCGGGATTCCTCTGGCCTTCACGTTTATGCTCCTACCCAGTTGTATGTCAGGCAGGTCGTTTCGTATCTCCAAGTTGGAAAGTTATGGTATAACAATCGTAAACTTCAAGGCATCCCTCAGAAAGCCATGTGACGCACCGTCTTGGCCCCCCACCCAAAGTAGGAATATGTGACGCATTGACTCAGCCCAACCCATAACTACCTATCGTGAGTGAGGCTGTGTTGGGTTGCGTTTGTCTATATCGAAGCTCCTATGAGTTCCACAACGCTCGGCTTATCATATCCCTACTCCTTGAAACATGAAACGTCGGAACTTCAGGCAGCCGGCAACAGAGAAAACTGATGTCACAAGCTGAACATGTTACCGGCAATTCAAATGACCCCATTCCGAGTAGAACCTCGTGGTTCATCTCGTAATAATTGCCTGTCATGTTGCAACTTCAGCTTTAAGTTGGTGTTGCAGGTCATGATAGGGTAGATGGTCCGTGCGCGGCCATGGTCCCCCTCGTCGCGTGTGGTCGGAGCTTGTCGCGTCCCACCTTTACTAACATCCATCATCGACATGGATCAACAACATCAACAGCAGTGAAGGAGGGAGAGTCTGACACGAGCCCGTAAAGGAATCAATTGGCCCGAACACCAGCGGACGACCAAGTATACTTGATAACCGTCAACCTGCCATCTGCGCCGCCATTTCACCCTCAACTATCGATGCGCAACCTCTAAACAAAACATCATGGACTCAAGCCCCATCGGGTCGCCTATCAAGGCTGCCTCACAAACCCCGTCCCGAACTCCCTCACGAACTCCAAACCGCCGCGCCTTCAGCGCCGAACCGCACTCGGGCCGCGCTTCGATACACACCCCTCTAGATCGTACCGGAGCCCGCGACCTCCGAGCATCTATCCGCCGTGGCACTCCCGGTTCCATTGGCCGATCCAATGCGCCAACTCCCCATGCCAAAGCCGCTCGTCGAGCGCTCGACCAGCGCCGAACAGCCATATTCACGCCTGGAAAGAATCGAAGGCGCAGTTTGATGCAGCAGCGTGAGACGCCCCTGGACATTCTGCGGACCCTCGGCAGAGTCCTGGCGCCAACAAGCAAGCCTATTCAGACGTCCTCGTCTTCGTCACCGGACGACAAGTCGACCATATCGCCTGTTCAGCAAGAAGAAACGAACATTTACGAAGATGACGATGAAGACGACCTACCGATCGACAGGCCACGGCTATCTTTGCCGCTTGATGATGAGGATGCTTCTAGTACAAGCTCCGATCTACGGCCTCCGCGGTTGTCGCAACTCGAGGAAGACAACTTTACGATGCAATCGATCGAGATGCCACGGCGAGCTATCAGCGAGCAGGCGGCATCAAGGCTATCCCGTGGAAGCTTTGGAAGCGTGCGTATGAGCGACTACTTTAACGACGAAGAAGGCACGGAGGATATTGGTCAACAGTCGGATTTCTTCCCAGGCCTGTTGGAGGACCTGCAAGCAAGAGCGGGCGCGGATGACCTTTCTCTAGACCAGTAAGTCGAATTTGCCCCGCGTTTTACGAACCGGCGTGTCCTAACAACAAGTACAGATTCGACGCTGATCAGTCGAGACGGATGACTGTTGGCCGAGAGAGCGATTTCAACTTTGAGATCCCTCCTGGTGTTGGAGAACAGACAACATTTATGCTGTCTGACCCAGCTGTCGATGTCCCGCAGACATCGCCTATTGTCGATCGTTCTATTGCAGAGGCCATGGGCGAAGATGCCCAGGAGCGTCATGCCGATGTGGTGCTCGGTGACTCTGACTCGGATGTAGGGGGAGGCTTTGATATGGGTGGATGGGACTACGATGCAGGCGGTGTTGACGACCACAGCTCACTAGATGAGGGACCAGAGCCCATAGCAGAGCCCATAGCAGAGCCCACGGTAACTGCTACCGTACACCGAGCACAAGCCGAGGATAGACTTCCGCGTGGTCTGAAGGCCAGAAAGAAGCAGAAGCGGATATCACAGCACGGCATTGAGTATCCGCCACTGCCCCCTGCGTTTGTCAAGAGGGTGGCCCAAACAGCTCTCCAGTCATCAGGCCTAAGCAACCAGCGTCTCTCCGCAGAGACGTTAGACGCTCTCATTCAAGCATCTGAGTGGTTCTTTGAGCAACTGGGTGATGATCTGGGCGCCTACGCGGACCACGCGAAGCGCAAGACGATCGAGGAGAGCGACGTTTTCACGCTCATGAAAAGGTACGTTGATGTGTCACTTGGGTATCAGCTCCTTTTTTGTTGTAGCCAGAAATTCTAATATGGTACAGGCAACGCCAGATAGGGCCGCGTTCCTCCATGTTTTCTCTCGCGCAGAGGCACCTCCCGAGAGAACTGATGCAAGAGCTGAGAATGCCTGTTCCGCAACCCGCCAAACAACGACGTGCTAAGCGTCCGCGGGTGGAAGACGGTGAGGGAGAGGTGGCAGAGTATACATGAGTCTTACATGGGTATGGATGAGTGAGATTTACATTTTACAGGCCCTTTGAGCGGGCTACCCGACGAACAATTTCGTTTGAGGGCTTCTTGACGACCATCCACAGCATGATGGAGGTTGCGGCACAGAGACCGTACCTGAAGTCGAGGTATTAGAAACCCGAGAGGACTGGTGTGGGGATGAGAGGAGGTGACATACCATGTGAAGATGTACTGAGCGTGGTTATTCCGTAGGTTGACCTCTGCAGCTCGGCCATAAGGAATGCCGCGAGCTTCATAGTCGACCATCTGCATGAACTCGGGTTCTTCTGTTGTTAGCAAAGATGGACTGGACGATGGCAAGGATGAAGCAGAAGTTATACATACCCATAGTGGCCTCAACCCAGACGGGCTGGCTTCCCGTCAACTCGGCCATCTGCTTGACATCTGGGAAATAAAACAGGCCCCTCTCGGGCTGATTGTCAGGCGTAAACATGTTCTTCTTCCATGGTTCTCTGAGCAACCCCTCCACAGTGACCTCGCCCTTGGGCAACCCATCCGGTCTCGTCCTTTGATCCCTGTGCTTCTTGTCGATCCAGCCGCGGTTTATAAGAATAGTCGTGGCGTCCTCGCGCTCTAGTGGCGTAATGACCATGTATCCGTCAGTACCGTCTCGCATGCGCGGTCCGATGAGCATCTCTTGGTCGTGTCGGAAGCGGCCTGTTGCTGTGACACGGCGGTAGTCGAACTCGTGGACGGCCGAGGGGTCGATGGTTGGAGGAAGGGGGAGGGGATCTCGGACGAGGCGGTCTTCAAACTTTGCGATGAGCTCCGTCTTCCAGCCTAGACGCTGGACCTGCCATGAGCCGAGGATGAAGGCTGTGATGGGGATGATGGCTGCGCAAAGGTTAGTTCTCCGCTGGTATGTAGACGTGAATTAACGCACCGAGGATGATGAGGCCAGGTCCATGGCGCTTTCCTGCACGAACAATCTGCGGCGGTCCATCGAGAATCGACACAAACTCCGGGTCATCGGCGTCGGGCTGCTTCCTGGTATTGCGACGAAAGGTGGATGATGTGAAGGGTCTTTTCGGGGGGGCGGAGGCCAATCTCGCGCATGGAGGGATTGGCCTTGAGGTGCGCAGGCTGCGCAATAATATATTCCGGGTCGAGTTCATTGGGACGGGTGACGACGCATTGGAGGTTAATGTCGGAGTAGAAGAGCTACTCTCATTGACCACTTTTGCGCGGCGGGGAGGGAGCCGTCCGTGTCTCGATTGGCCTCGCCCCAGACAATAGTGACTAAGGTCTCGCAACTGTCGGAGGATCGAATCTCCGACCAACACCAAAGACAACGCCTTTCACCATCCAACCTACGAAAGCTGAACCGAGTCGCGACGAGGCTGCTCAAGCATCATTGGATTCCACATTTCGTTCCCCAGGTCTTTTTATCGTCCTTTAGCATATCATCAAGCAGCACCATCTCAACGACCCTCTCCACTAATCCTAGCTCAAAGTCCTAGGGGCAAGATGAGGACCATATTATTCCGTCAAAGAGCCAAATTTACCAGACATTCGCTCGCAGTAAACAAGTATGGCAAGACTTACATAAGAAAGCCGCTTCGATGTGTTTACAGCGCAATACTATCACGCTCTCCCGTCTGGCCCATAAACTCCCGGTAATGCCAGACGATTTACGAGGCGTGAACCATATTACTAGACAGGCTACATAGGAGCTATTAACCTCCGGGTGTAGTACATTCCCTAAAACCATGACTAAGGAGACACGACGATGGGCTCTTGCAAGGCGGCGACCGACACTCTGCATGATATCAGATCATAGCCACTTCTCCTACTCGGACAGCACGTCTAACGGGATCGCTATCCTGTTCTTCGGTTGGGCATATATTCTCTGCATGAGCATGCTAGAGAAACAGCACATTCCAATGTGTTACCCAGACAGCATACCCACACCTCCTCCCACTCAAGACCATTGCTCAGATGGACGAGAGCTCACTGTGGATATCGGGCACGTTTCTGAAGGCGAGTTCCTCTGGTGGACTTCCCTGCTCTCTCCAGGCCAAGGGTGGCGATCGGCCAGCGGAAAACATCCTGCATGGGCCATTACATACACGGGCAATATTAAACTCCGAGTTGAAGCAAAAGTCGTACCGTCGGCCGGGTTGAATGCAAGCCCGCCATCAAGCAGACAAGCAGTGAGATTTCTCTCCAGATTCGCTTCCATGTATGACCTCGATGGCCAAGCTCCCCTTGCTCTCGCTATGGCTTTGACGCTTCCCCTACACAACGAAACGACCTCGGTAGTCAAACTGCCAAGACCAATTCTTACCAGACAAGATACCCCGAGAGCATCTCTTTCAAGCATCGAACGGGAGTATAAGAGCTTAACTCACTATATGACTCTTAGCTCCAACCCTATCTTCCTATCGTCGGTGCTTTGGGCGGTTTTCTGGGAACCAGGTGTAGAGTGCAACCTAGTTAGCCCTTGGTATGATGCGATAATCAACATAGTCAAGCCTTTAATTAATCGAGGCGAGCTCGAGATGCTAGGCCATATTCTGGCGCTCCGTCGACCGAATGTTGCTCCCCTATGGTATGGAATTGCCGCCTATGGGCAGACAAAGACGATTCTCTCTATCGTGCCCTTTCTCCAGAATCTCTTTACTCCCGTGCCTTCAAGGCCGATACCCGAAGTTGCGGGTTAGACAGGTTCTCCGCAATCATTTATGGATCTTAGTAGGTCAGGAGCATATCTGCAAGCAGGGGATCAGGTTGCTCGAGCAGATGTATAGCGGTTGCGCCACGAGTGCTAGGACGTCGAGCCCGAAGGTGCTCCCTTTCGCAACCCTCCAATGTGCCCTTGGCCTCCCTTTGGATCTATGAAAGTTGATGAACTGGAGTTGCCTATGCGGATGCATATCAACTGCGATAGACATCAGTGGGCGTATGTTCGATGGACTTGGGCGTTGAGCAATGGGATCGTGTCAACCGAGACTTGGTCGCCACAGGACAGCTTCTCTCTCTTCGAAAGTGAGTCGCCGGTGGACTTGGCTCACGGTTCCCTCCCCGATCCCGTTTACAAGCCAGATCACATAGCCTCAGAGAGGGCGGTTGGCGACATATTTCGATGGTCTGCTACGGAAATTGAGCCTACGGGGAAAAACATATATCTGCATCCTTGGGTTGACGCTCTTGCAGACCTAGAAATGGATGGAAATAACGAGGTGGATTCCAGCTCGGATGCCCAACAGGACTCTTCTGACTCCCCTATTAAACGGATCAAGGACTGGATTACAAAAATAGACGCAGAGTGTGTATAATTCTGCTACATCGGTAGGCAAACCAGGTAGGCGTCTTAACGGTCACCCATAAAATCATGCCCTCCTTTCTAACACAGATACCACCATATTTTACATTTGATACACTCGTGCTTTCCTTTGCTCACTTTCCTCTTATCTCTCCTAGTGCATCGGTATCGGTTATGTTCGTTATACATGTGTGTGCAAATACTGCAACTACCGCGCAATCCCGAGCTCGCTGACATGGTATCTGGTAGAGTATGTGAATTGTGAAGACTGCATGAGAGCTATGGAAAGTAATTACCTATCGATGTCTTATTGGTTACTCTCTCATGAAGGATTATGCACATGTATCAACCAGCCAGCCGAAGGACCATTTCAGCGGCCAAAGTCCCTCTTTATAGTCCGCGGGTCTCGGCCGCGCATTCTTTCCCTGTCTCCTGATGCAAGAGAAACTGCAATGGGTTCTAGTGTGGCGGGGTGTCAGGCTGCCTTGCATCCATTCTATCCATGGTTGTTGGTCAGTGGGCGCGTCCAGGTAGGCAGCTTACCGATCTAAAGTTACCACGGCCGGCGCATCGAGGATCGATGTATCGAGTAAGGTTCTGGTAATAGGATATTTCAATGTCGGGAAATCGACTTTTTGAAATGCCTTGCTTCAATGAGAGAGACCCTGTGGGGAGGTTTTGCCAAGTTATAGTATTGATGTTATGGATGGAATTAGGGTGTAGAGGAAGTACACGCTGCACACCTCGAAGCCAATGACGACCACCAGGACGAACAAACCTAGGATAGGTAGGTATGCTTTTGAGCACCTGGAAGACATTGTTTTCGACGGTACACCGTATGAACAGTCCAATATCTAGTAAAGGACACGCGGACCACCTCTTTTATCAACAACGGAGCTGTGCAGATCACCCCAACGCTCATGCGACCAAAAGGAAGTCGTGTTTTCATTTTTGTCATCTCGGCATTAAATTATTTCGCCATCTCGACCCAAGACTTTATTAATACCGCTGCAGCTGAGAAAGCGTGCCTCGAGGCAAGGAGAAAGATCTGGAGAGAATTCGCGATTGCGAGAGGCCTACATCTACCGCGTAGGTCCTGTTCAACTGATAATATTTTTCAGGTCTAGTTGCAATGGCTTGCATCTTCTGGAGAACCTCGACTGCTCTTTACTATCGCCTTTCGACCAAAATTCCCTCCGAGTTCGCCGAGATGGACTGCACGGCAGCCCGCGCATACAGACCTACCATGGTGGTCCTTATCCTTACTATGCTCCAGATGCGGGGTAACCAGCCATGCCGTGCATAGCCAGATGGATGGCATCGCGAGGGAGAATGTGGTTGGCCAGCAGTTGCATCGTGTTGGCTTGATTTAACCCTTCTTCGCTTCCTGCATAGTAGGGAGGGCAGAAGTGCAGGTCTGACAATTGGGTATATGAACGCTGGCACACTCCTCCTTTCATCACCAGGAATGCAAAATGAGAGACCGGATTATTGATGACCAGATAAGGAGGGAGCGGGAAATCTTTATCCGGCTCCTCAAGGAAGAGAAAGGAGAGGCCATTTGCACCCTAGCTTCCTCCTATCACGATGGCGCTCCATGCCATATCTTTGCGGTAACACATGGATCATTCAACATCTGCTTCATGATCCAATTCAATGATCCTCTTACCACCCCGGCAGACAGATGGGTAGTGCGCATACCCTTTCCTGGACGGGTCCCATGGATCGACGAGAAGATTGACTCGGAGATAGCCACAATGATGTATATACCCCCTGACGAATACTCCATTGGGTCACTCACGATGGCTAGGTATATAGCCAAAAACACAACTATTCCGATCCCCAAGATTCATGCATGGTCGTATGAAGCGCAAAGCCCAATTGGTCATGCCTTTATCATCATGGATCACGTCCAAGGCACGCCGCTAAACGCCCTATTGTTCCGCAGAGAAGAGAGATGGGCAGGTAGCCCAACCCATCCGAGCCCTGACCTAGCTCGTGTCCATGAACAACTCGCGGATATCTATATCCAGCTTCGTGGTCTAGAGTTCCCTGAGATTGGGGCGCTTGGTATGCCTACGTCGGATTCATCGGGAATCACCATTCGTCATCGACCGTTGCCGATTGAGGTGGCCCTCCAGGAAGTCGAGAAGCTCAAACCGACAGAATTCTTCCCCGAGAAGAAGACATTCAAGACAGCTAGGGAGTACATCCAAGCCCTAGTAAAACTAGGCCATAACCGATTGGTTAGGGCTGAAGACCCCGACATGGGGTCCCTGGAAGTTGCCTCGAGAGTTGCCTTGGCTCATAATGAGTTCTATAAACATATGCTCACTCGTTGGCAGTGGAGAACAAAGAGCAAGCCATTTGTGCTAATGCACGGCGATTTAACCTTGCATGGGAATAACCTCCTCTGGGACGACAAGCTGAACCTCGTTGCTGTCCTCGACTGGGAATGGTGTCACGCAGTCCCCGTCTCCTTTTTTATCCCCCCAGCGTGGCTCGGAGGGTTTTACTCTAACCCAATCCGCGAACTGTGTTGTTCTAGCGTTGGTTACTTTCTAGAGGTCAAGGCTTTCTGCATGTCTATTGTTGCAAGATCGAAACAGTCCCCCCTCGAAACGGAGTGGCAACAACTCCCTCAGGAGCCGCACTGCACGCTGGTGCTCGCACTTTTACACCCTGAAGCCGTCGATGATGTCTACTGGGACTCTTTCATCTATAGATTTTACTCTCCAGATGGTGAGAAGGTTGCTGAAGAGAGGTTGATGGCGTTCCTCAAGAGGCCAGATGTCAATGACTTTCTTAACCGCAGGGTTGCTAGCCAGAAACGCCACGATGAGAAGTATCAAGTCTATGTACGTGAACATGGGGAACCACGAGATTGTCGGTGCCTGGGCTGTGAAAGGCAGAGGCAGAATTTCGAGATCTTGCAGGAGCTCCCGCGGCTCTGACCTTTTTCTTACGAGGATGATTTAGAAGGTTGTAATGTATTAGGCTGGGCAAGTTCAATTTGCATTTAGCGTTCTCGGCTTCCTCATCTCTACGACGTGCCGCCCTCCGTATTGCTTCGCTCCGTGCGAGCAATCCAACCCTAATGCTTTGTGCGTCTTCTAGATCAAAGGCACGCTAGAGGATAAGAAGAAGTAGAAAGATACGCCCATGGATGAGAATATCCTCTCATGGACTAGAATATCCTCTTATTCCCCGAGGTCGACCGACCGCCACACACTACCCTATTAGTTAATTCTCCCCTAAAGATAGTAGGGTAATAATAAAAAAAGACTCTAAGGTATTACTTTTATTATAACATATCCTTAATTCTTTTATTATATTTTATATCAATTTACTTATAATAATTATAAAGAGTTAGGTAACCTTCTTCTCTTTTGTCTCCTCGTTTACTTCTCGACCCCGTGTCGATCGGTGGTGAAGGAGCCACATTGACCTCGATTCGAGGGACCTGCGTGCCAACATGGTCAGTGATGAAGCGGGTTCTAAGCAGTTGATTTCTTGTACAAGCTGGTAGCCCCCCCGCAGTCATGATGACAAAGGCACTGGCCGTCACGATTTCCGGCAGGTAACCCCTCGCAACGTGTGGGCCCACACTGTGCAATGCACAGATAGCCATCCTTCTGAATCGATTCTCATCACGACATCAAACCTATGCTGCATCATGGATGGACCAAAGAGTGTAGAGGAGCTGAAAAGGCTCCTGCAAGAGGCAGAGAAACGCGTGGAGGAAGCAAAGAGAAGACTACAAGAGGATCGACAACCCACCGAGGAAGCAAAGAGAGAACGACAAGAGGAACTAACGAGACTCCTGCGAGAGGCGGAGCAACGCATGGAGGAAGCAGACAGAGAGCTACAAGAGGAGCAGATGAGGCTTATACGAGAGTTGGAGCAACGCCTCGAGGAAGCACTGCAACGACGACAACGCGCTGAGAGGGAACGTGAGATTGCACGGCAACGCGCTGATGAAGCAAAGAAACGCGCCGATGAAGCGGAGAGAGGACTACAAGAGGACCGAAAACGCGCCGACGAAGCAAAGAAACGCGCCGATGAAGCGGAGAGAGGACTACAAGAGGACCGAAAACGCGCCGACGAAGCAAAGAAACGCGCCGATGAAGCGGAGAGGAAAATACGACCCACGACACTTGACGAGTACATCGCAGCCTGCCATACCTCGGTTTTCTCCCGATTCACCATTAAAACACACCCAAAGCTAACCTCGATGGGTTCTATCGCAAACCCGCCTGACAAGTGGTGTCCCAAAAACCTGCGGCCATGGTCCGACTTCCTTGATCAACAGAGGCTTATCTTCGCGACGCTCTACGATTCATTTCCTACCGACCGCCGTGCTTTCGAGAACCTAGCTGGCCTGGCCGGCGTGGGAAAGCGGATCTCTGAACGGCCGGTAGCAAACGAGAGGGCGCTCGAATATTTCCTGCTAATGACCGTGGAGGATCCGCTCCGACTCATCATCCGACAGCTCAAGCTGGTGGAAGAGGTCGGAAGGGCCTTTCAGATCGGAGATCGTGTCATCTTTAAAAGCCAACCCCATGCTCTCAGCGACGTCGCCGAGGAAGTCGTGGACAGGGAGATGCAGGACCCAGCCATACCAGCGCCGACGCCGGAACATCGAATCTGCGTTTATCGATCCGATAATGCCCCGTCTTCCCAGTACACCCTGGTCTACGTTTCCGAGCAAAAGTCACCTTGCAAGTTGACCCCTCCGCATCTTCGTCTCGGTCTCCGCCCCATGGACATCTTCAAGGAAGTTGTGAACCGACAGACGATTCCAACTTCTACAGACCCTGAAGCGCGTTTCCAGTACCACGCAGAGAAGCTCACGGCATCTGCCGTCACGCAGACATATCATTACATGATTGAAAGCGGTCTTGAATATGGGCTTCTGACTACTGGCGAGGCTATTGTGTTTCTAAAGATTGACTGGGACGAACCTGAGACGCTGTACTATCATCTAGCGGAGCCTGGTCCGGAGGTGTCAGCTCATCCAAACAACGTCGATGTCTGTTCGGTTGTCGGTCAGCATCTTGCCTTCATGCTCATGGCTCTCGGCTCGCCAGGTGAACGACGGGTGATTGGGCAGGAGGAACGCCAAAGAGCTGTGAGAAACTTGAGAACATGGGCCGATGACTTCGAATCGACACTACGCTCCATTCCAGAAAATGAACGGTCGGCTCCATCGGATAGCTCACCTGGTTATGAACCTACTACTTATAAGGGCGTTGATCGGACGCCGCAACGCCGAGCCGCCAAGAGCCAGATTGACGAGGGGTTGTTCGGACGAAGCACCAGACAAGGAACTAGGCGAAGCCAGCGACTGGCACGCCAGTCACGTGGAGGAGGCGATGAGCAGGGTCGACAGTACTGTACGCAGAAATGCCTTCTTGGGATGGTTAGGGGAGGTCTTGTCGACCCAAAGTGCCCCAACGTTGCACTTCACTGCAAGAGCAGTGCTCCCGCCGGCGCACGCCATCCTGTCAATCATGAGGAGTGGCTCCGCCTACTTCGGAAGCAGCTGGAACAGTCCCTTGACGACGGGATCAGGCCGTTGGACGAGGGCGGTGCGCGGGGTGTGCTCTTCCAAGTGACTCTGCTTGCGTATGGCTACACCTTGGTCAGCAAGGGCACGGTACGGGCTTTCATCAAAGATCTCGAGCACGAAGCTGCTGTTTACGAGCGCCTCAAGCCTATCCAAGGCGTCCACGTACCTGTCCTTCTGGGTGCCATTGACCTCAGATCGATGAACAAGACTTACTACTATGACCATCGGGTCTACGTGGTGCACATGACACTTTTGTCCTGGGGGGGATGCAGGGTCGACACAGTAGACGACATGAACAAGTCACTTGAAGACGAGGCCATCCGGTCCTTGAGAGCCATGCATCAGGAGGGCGTGATCCACAAAGATGTGCGACTTGCCAACTTGCTGTTCAACTCTGAGACCAACGGGGTCATGGTGATCGACTTTGAACGAGCTTTGCTGCTCGAGCCGCCTCAGCGCCCGTCGTTGGCGCAGCTGGTGCCGAAGAAGCGAGCGTGGAAGTCGGAGGCGATGGATGCCAAGAAGAAGGTGACTGGTGGTTCAAGCAAGCGAAACCGGGCAGATCGAGGCTTTTCGGAGGATATTTGGTTGGCAAGTACGGCCTTTATGGATTGGAATGCTCGCCGTGGAATTTGAGCTTGGTGGCGAATTTGATGACTTGACTATGATGACTATCGGGTAAACAGTACCGCATAGTCACAACTACCGGATACCAGGACGGTTGCGGCCTGTAAAGACTATTCACTTTATAGCCTAAGTATGAGCTGAATAAGAGATGAGAATGAGATGCGATATTCTAAGTCTTTGATTTGAATATTCAGTTTATTATATTTAGGACGATCGCGTGCCTTTGTACACATTCTCCTCGAGACTAGCTTCCAGGCTGTCTGGGGCCAAGCTCAATTGGATCGGTCAGGGCGGTGACACTGCTTCGCTAATGGCAAATAAGGCCCAGACTTCTGAATTAAGCTCCCCAGGAGCACCCGCTCCACACAGCCACACCAAACGGGAGGATAATCACCTGTCAGTTCGCACGTTGGCGGCCTGGGAGAGATACCTGATTCGAACTACCCGAGAGAGAGCTCATCAGACCAGATAACCCAATTCTCCGCTCGTTCTGCCACTTACCTGGAAACCCCTCAGCCATGGCGCCACTGGTTACCAGTTGGGAGGAGTTGCTTTGGGTGTCTGAAGAGGTCGACGAGGACACCGGAGACTTCCAATATACCATGTTCGCAACGGTAGAAGACGACATGATATACTACGGCCAGCTGAACAAACCAAAGGCGAATATCTTATTCCAGCATGTTACCAACTCCCTTGCTCGAATTCCCGACGACGAAATCTTTCCCCGGTGGCCCCAAGGCCTCACTCTCACCAAGGCCCCTGAGGAGCTCCCGCCAAATGTTTTCGTCAAGCGGCCCAGGCTAGCACTGTACGATGTCTTCCTGAAGCACAAAGTCGTACATCTCCTCCCCAAGGGTTTAGTAGAAGAGGCAGAAGCAATGGAAGTACTGTGGAGCCAGCCTCACCCAAACATTATCAGATACCATGGCTGCCATGTGCGACGAGGCTATATCACTGGGCTCGTGCTCGATCGACATCTCCATGACTTGAACAGCTATCTAAAGCGAGGCCACACCATCCAAAATAAAGAGCTCTTTATAGAATCACTCGAGTCGGCAATTCATCATGTACACTCTCTTGGCTGGGCCCATAACGACCTCAACCCCACAAACGTCCTCGTGGCGGAGGACAGAAGACCCATTCTGATCGACTTTGGCTCGGCTCGTAGGATTGGAGAGAAGTTATCGACTAGCCGCGGTACGAAAGGTTGGATCGATTGCGAGATGAAGGACTATACGACGTCAGAGACGCGACACGACACTTCAGCTCTGGCCAAGCTTCGTACGTGGCTGGATAACCCAACATTCGAGGATTGAATGGTTTTGCTGTACATTTCAAAGTTGGCATCCAGCAGCCTTGCATGACTGAATAGTGAGGGTCGAATTCCGAGGCAAAGAAACGTGTCTATATGATGATACAGCGAGAATTGAGGACCAAAGCGGAGAATTCACATATCTGTGCTGCATAGAATGTAGTAACGGCATTATTCGATGGCTTCATGTTCTAGAGCATGGCACCTTGGCTTAAGGGAAGAAGGACATCTGGACATGTTACTCATCCCTATCTCTACCATTGGTAACCTAACCGCCTGATAGCAAAGTCTAGGACAAACTCCCGACAGCCGACTATTGTCCTCGGCCTGATTACTAGATCAATGTCTGTATTCTATTCTCGCTTCCTCGGTGATAGAAATGGCCCCCAATAGGTACCACATGTATCCAATTGTAGACGCTCGAGAATGGCTGAAATAAGGGGTTGCTGCATTGGTTGTTGGCCCGCAGCACCAGACTAACCGTGAATATCCCGTCCGCCACAGCCAACGTTTTTTCACGCTGAATTCAACCTTGAAGAAGAAAAAGACTACACCCTTGATAATGGCCCAGTCGTCTTGGGCCCAATAGGCAATAGACCGCTTCTTTGGCGGCCGTAAATCGCCATCGCAGACGCAATGTGATGAAATTGCACAATCCGTCTCTGGCGTGTCGACGGTCAGCCCCGTGGATAGCCCAGGCTCAATGAGCTACACCGTCATCTGCAAAGGGCGCCCTGAGCCACTGCAAGATGTCATTGTATCCTTTAGAGAACCAGGGGCCATGCTCGACGAGGAGATGGTGAATTTGGCCAAAGAGATCCACGGCGACCTTGTGCCCGAGTCCACCTGTCACGGCAACGTCGAGGGATCCGATCCGCCGCTGTCCATCTACTCCATGCCCTATCTGCGAGGCTCATCCTGTATTGAGGTCCTAGCTTTCCAGGTGGAAATGGATCCCGATCAAGAAGCCAAGCATCGAGTCTTTGTCAAACACCTGGCTCGGTAAACCACATCCAAGCCGAGGACTATTCAGAGGTCATCTTGCTCATATCTTCAAGGTACTTTGCACGATGTTGGTCCAGCCCTCGGTCTGTTGACCGTACCCAAGCAGAGAAGCAACAAGGGATCTGTAAAAGGCTCACCCGGCTGGCGGAAGAATCACGGCCGTCTATTCTGCCCAGCTCGATGCTGTTCAACCTCATCAAGAGCCTTCCCTCGCTCTTCGGTCAAGATTACCCGCAGGTCCTCACACATGGCGACTTCTCAGTAACTAACATTCTAGTCGATGAGAACAAGTTCGAAATCACAGGCATCGTCGATTGGTCTCTAGCGGCGGTTATGCCCTTCGGAATGGATCTGGACATCCTCTTCTTAACCACCGGGTTCATGACCCGGGGCGGCTGGCATGACTACGCATGTAAGAAGCTGCTGCGAGACACCTTCTGGGAGGAGTTCTGGGCTGCCTATGGGATCGAAGGGGAGGAACGTCGGGTCAGAACGCAGAGTCTGGCTGAAGCTGCAGGCCAGATTGGCGCAATTCTCCGATTAGCATTCCGGCGCAACGTCGATGGGTCACCATCGGAAGAGGTTTTGTCGTCAGGAAGCAGCATGGAACAGCTGAGGGCGTGGTTTGGCGAACAAGCGCCAAGACCTGGCCGAGGCAGGACGGGATCTGGGGCTACACGAGAACCCTCTGCTTAGGAAGTGAATAATGCAATCAACGTTGCTTGAAAGCATTCGAGTATTGCCTATCACAACTCAGTGATCTGGTCATCAGGCCAGAATGAGAATACGCTTGTTGAAGACTCTGATGGGCCTGAATTATGGCGACTCCTCACACGGGCATTATGTTTAGGATGATGTGTGTGTGTGTGCATACCTTTACATAGCTATCCTCCTGATGACCTAAGCTCGCTCGGACTGAAATTGTTCATGGGCTAATCAATCACAGGCAATCAAGTCATCACAGGACCTCGGCCAACGAACGGGAGGGAAAGCAAACTTCAATTCTGTAGACCAGACTTGGCCACTACACAAAGATACATAGCAAGAGGCCGTGCCGGACATTACAAGCTCTCTCCTCTTTCTCTCCAGTGTGTTGCCCAAAAGAGGCGATAATCTACGCAGGACCCCGACGCCGTCTCAGACTCGCCCGCAGGGACTGCGCCTCAATAGCGAAAACGTCCTTTTCCTGCTTTCCAGACCCCGACTTCCTCTTCTGATTTCGACTGTTGTTGACCTTGATGGTTCCGAGTGGTTGTCGGGCATGGAACTTGGCCAACATCAAGTCCACCATCACACATCTGCCCGTGTATTCATCGTAGAGCACGTTGCGTGGCTCTGCATCGCAGTGGAGGACTCCATGCTGATGTAGTCGGCCGAGCGCGGTAAGAATCTCGTTGGCCATATCTATGCTGACTTCCTTGAATTCTTTCAAGACCGGTTGTCCGCCGTAACTCAGGAACATAAAGTCTTTGTATACGCCACTATTGAAGTAATAGGGCTTGACGAGGCCAATGACACCGAGGCAGACCGGAATAAACTCCCCCTGGATATCCCGAAGATGAATATACATCTTGTTTTCGTGGCGTAGATGTTTGGTATCCATGATCTCTACTCCTTTCGCCACGAGTGTATAGCCATGCGATGAGAGGCGGAATTTAAAGAGGGACCCCCGTGATCCAGATAGGTAGAGAGGCACGCAATCAGCATCTTTTCCACGGTCAACTGCTAGTTGGTCCCGCGCCAGACGAAGAAACTCTCCCGGAGTAATGTGCATATTGCCATGATCCGCAAAGTTAGGGCAGTTTTCGTCCATTGGGCCACTGATTGCGAGCCCGCGAAGACACCCTTGCGTGCAGTATAGTCGATCCCGGATGTTTGGTCGCATGCTGGTGCGCTCTTGTGAAGCTGCGTTTCCATCCTGCCCCTGTACCTCGCTCGACATTGCAGAGCGTGTAAACCCTTTCCACCGTTGCGCCTGATAGGGAGTATCGTGCCGCGGCCTGCGATCTGTTTCCGGGGTACTGCGCAAGACGTCGTCGTACTCTATGGCCCATGTATCGAGGCATTCGGCAGCGTCATGCCAGGCTTGACACGGTGGTGGCGATTGGATGGCCTGAAGCAGAAAGGCAAAGACCTGCGCAACGGCAGTGCGATAGAGCCTCGTCTCGTCATCACCTTGAACATCTAGGCTTGGCACACAGATGGAGTAATAGACACAGGAGGGGTCATCTGGAATATAGAGGAAAACATAGACCTCCCCCGTGCAAACATACCCGTACTGGGTGCCTTTTCCTATCATGTAGGAGAAGAGCTCAGTTACGACGGCAGTGGTAAGCCGTCTCGATGCGAATTCGTATCCCTCGCCCTCTTGGTTAATCATATCACGATCCGGTTGAATCTCTGAGGCAAGCCCAGTGACGATCTCGCCGCGTCTCAACTCATGGGGCGCCTTGTACTTGATCGCAACGGCAGGAATAGTTTGTCCGCTAGAGCGCTGGTATACGCAGAACTGGCCTGCTTCTCGGTTGCCCTTCCCTCGTGCCTTTCGTCGACGTTGGGCTGACGCTTGCTCTATCGATTCGGAGAGGGAGTCATCGGTAACCTCGAGGTTTGTGTGTACATCAAAAGCCACCGTTCCGCCGAGGCTGAGGTAGCTTCTCAGTGACGAATCGTTATACGTCGCGTCTACTAGAATCTGGGCTGCATTTTCCACAACGTCTCGCTGGCTAATTCGAAGTCCCATCTCGCAGCTGACCGGGGAAAGCAGGGATTTGACATAGTCTAGCTGATGTCGGGATGGAAAGGTGGCTTGGGAAGAAAAGGAGGGACTGAAAGAAAGCTTATCCCAGACTTTTTCTTGTTCCCTTGCGAATGTGGTCCACGGGATGATTCGTCGAGGACAAATTCGGCCGGCCGGATTCGTCGTGTCCTCTGGCTCTAGTTCCGTCAAGGGACGGTCGGTTATTATTTTGAGAGCAAGGCCAAGTGAATGGCATGCTTCGAGGTATTGTTGTGGTGTCGATAGGCGCGATGCAGCTATACATTCTTCGACTTCTTGACGTCGTTGTCGCTCTTCTTCATATATTCGTTGGTCTTCTTCTCGTTGGCGTCGTCCCTCGATGGCGCGAACTTCAGCAGCTTCACGAAGCCGTTCCTCTTTTTTGCGCAGGCGTTGCACTTCCCGTAGCTGCTCCCGGAGCCTCTCGATTTCTTTGGCTTCTTCGCTTCGGCGTTGTTCCTCGAGGGCGCGACCTTCAGCAGCTTCACGAATTCGTGGATCTTCCCGTGGCTGCTCTCGCAGCCTCTCGATTTCTTCCATGGAGGGCGGGCTGGTGGATTTGTGCGAGAGGAAGTAATCGGCGCAAAGAATGGTTTGTTATGAGAAGCTTCTAGGTAAGGACCTGTGTTGTGAATGAATGCGCCGGCCCCATCGGCCCCATCGGCCCCATCGGCCCCACCGACGGCCGAAATGTGGGGCTTGCCCAAGTCGATTGTCAATTCACCACTCTATGCCCTGTGGTCGCGATACCAGACACGCGTTCGTAGAAAAGCATGAGATACTGAGTCAACGACCTATGTCGTCTGAGGTGGGAAATATTCTAAAAAAATAAAAATAAAATAAAAATAAAATAAAAAAAATACTCAAAGATTTATGATATAATTACTTATTTTTATCTCTTACTTAGTATATAATTCACTTATTGTGTGAGGACTCTTTACTAAGGATAGACATTCTGGTGTCTTAACTTTTTCTTTGTGTACGTCCGGGTGCCAGAATACACCCCCTAAGACAAATCAACGGGATCTCTACCTGAATGAGACTTTTTGCTCTATTCTGTCTAGGTAGTTGCCAGGGATCAGCAGGCAAGTCGAGTAAGAGCCCCGCACCTCCATTAGAAACCAGTCGAAGCGGTTCGCTGACGGATGAGTTCACACTACACACCTAGCAAGTCAGGAACCAACGTTATCAAACATGAATCTTGATCAAGTGCAAGCGAGACACATCTGGGATAGCAGAATCTTGGAGACATCATTTTATCATGACACTATTGCCCTATGCTTAATCTCAACCCTCCACCTCCTAAATGCATCATTGCCCTTGAGCATTCAAGATACTCCAAGGCCTGGGGTATCCAAATCTAGCGGCATCTGAGAAAGGGCGAGGCGCTATTGCAAAGACGCCTAGTTCTTAAGAGCATCGATCCATTCCAGAGCCACCTTGGGTTCCATTCTGTTTCGGTAGTCGGGGTCGATGTAGACGTTGCGAACGATGCCAGAACCGTCAACGAGCAGAGTGGCGGGGATGGGCACCTCAAAGTTGTCCAGGCCGTTGCGCTTGCTAAGGTCGACACCAACTTGCTTGAAGAGGTCCTTGGCAGAGGATTGATCAAAAACAATGCCGAGCTTCTTGGCGACTTCGTTGTTGCGGTCGGTAAGGACGGGGAACTTGATCTCGTTCTTCTCGGCAGTGGTCAAGCTGTAGTCGGGCAGCTCAGGAGTCAGAGCGACAAGAGTAACACCGCGAGCCTTGTACTCATCGAGGTGACGCTGCAGGTGCTGGAGGGCGATGTTGCAGTAGGGGCACCACTCGCCGCGGTAAAAGGTGATGAGAAGGGGGCCATTGGCGAGCAGGTCATCGCTCGACACCTCCTTGCCGGTGGCATCACTCAAACGGAACGAGGGGAACTTGTCGCCAACTTGGACAGCGTTTTGGGGCTTGAAGAACTGAACAAAGTCCTCGATGGCGGTGGTGATGGGTTCGGAGCCGGGCACGCCCTTGAAGGACTGGGCGATGGCGGTAAGCTGCTCAGACTGGGAAGACATTTTGTAGGATTTTTTAATGAAGATTGGAGTTTTGAAAGATGTTTTGAGAGTGGTAAAGTTGTTATTGTGTTGAGTGTTGTTGATCTGATGCTGGATTCGACTCAACACCACGTCTACTATGCCAACTATATACTCGATCAACTGCCTACCAGCCCAAGCTGCAACATGATTATCAATCCTCAATTATAAATCTCGAAATGAAGTGGTCTCAGTTTGTCCGAACTGATTAATCCACTTGCGCCTGCCTGATTGTTGGTGTTGTACTACTTAATGGGCCCAGGTCCGCAGGGGTGGGAAGGAAGGTAAGAATTCGGCCGACTCGACCGAGTTCGACCGAGCTGAGTTGCATGATTCCATCTTGAAACCAACAACAACCACTAAGCAACTTTCTCCGAAGGACAGTCTTACTACACACGAATCATGGAGTCACAACCTAAGCGGATGAGACTAGGCACCAAGAGCTGCACCGAATGCAGACGCCGAAAAGTTCGATGCATCTTTCCCGAGGGATCAGACAAATGTCGACAGTGCAAACTCCACAAGGCGCCGTGCAGGCCCCAGCAGGCTCCATCAAGCAGCTCGCCGAGCACAGCGAGTCTATCACCGGACTATGTGCAATCGAACGAGGCCACTGTTGAGGCTCTTCGACTGCGAGAATGTCAGAGACTCGGTCTACCGCTAGATACATCCCTCGGCGCCATCTTTACCCATGTTGTTGGCAACTCCATCTCGTCGAGGAGCACCTCCATTGATCAAGACTTGGATGCCACTGTTGTCCTCGAAAACGCACCGCTTATGAAGAATCTTAGAGAGACTCTGCCTACCCAGCCTACTTTTGAAGCCGAGTTACCGACCCGGCCACAGGAACCTTTTTCCAATCGTTCTTCAGTGCCTTACTTGCCCTGCGCCCCGACACTGGTCAGCATTTTTGAGTATACGCAGCAATTCTGGGCCACTTGGCCCCTGGCATTCACGCCTACGGAGACCAATGAAAGATGTTTCCCTGACTCTGTACCGATGGCCATGAGGTTTATTCAGCAATCCGTCGGGTCCGCAAACCCAGGCGTCGTCGCAAGAGCTCTGGTCTGGCTCAGCATTTGCCTCCAAGAGCTGCCCAAAGACTTCAACAAGGACACACCTTTGGCTCTTCCTTGGAAGGCGTCCAAGCTCATTGACTACTACCTTAAGGAGGTGGAGGAGCTGCTGCAAACACACTCGTCTCCCGTCTGCAGCCTGGAGTTTATCGAGGCCCTCACGCTCCAATACGAACTCTTCATCTTCATGGGTCGTCCATGCAGTGCTTGGAAGAGCACTAGGACCGCCTTGAACAATGCCATGATACTGGGTTTGCACGGGTTCGCCCCGAACGGACGGAAAAAGGAGATATGGAATGCTCTATGGGTACAGGATCGACACCTATCGTTATTCCTAGGACTACCTTATGCTGTTCCAGAGCACTTCATCCGCCTCGACCGAGTTGACGAAAATGATGTCCTGGAACGGAGGATCCTTCGAAAGGTGGGCATAATTTCGGGCCACATCACCGATCGAAATTGTCACCAGCTCGAGTCGTCATATTCAAGTACAGCTCGGATCATAGAGGAGATGGACCAGCTCAAGGAGATGATACCGACCGAGTGGTGGGAACCCACCGAGGCTGACATAACCGGGTACTATGGCATAGACTTTACACGTCGTGCCATCATCCTCTTCTACTATACAACTAACAAGCTGCTGCATTTGCCTTATGTGCGCATGGCAGCCCAAGATAAGCGATACGAATACAGTCGAACCACCGCCTTTGAGTCTGCCGAAGGAATGGTGCGAGCATACCTGAACATACGAGTCCTCGGGACTGCGCCCATGAGCTGCGACTTTGTCGACTTTATGGCCTTTAGCGGAGCTGCCATTCTCGCTGCCGACCTGATATCCAAGAGTATCCCCCGTTCGGCTGAAGAAGAGGAGAGGCTGTGGAAGCTGATCATGGAACTGGCAAAAAGCATGAGAGATATGACCTCTGTGCTAGACTGCTCGGTAGCGACTCAGGGGGCCGAGGTTTTGGAGAATCTACATGCGGCGCGACACGGGACATTCTTTGGACCCGAGAACTTTGAGGTAACCATACCTTACTTTGGAAGAATGCGCATCTCGCGGGTCGAGAAGCCGGCGCCTGCTCTCCCCCAAAACGTCATCGAGTTTGAGACCAACGTCTTCAACATGCATCTTCCGACCGACCTCCAGCAATCGTGCGAGCTGACGGAGAATTGGAGCTCTGGGTGGGATTTTGATTATACGTATGAGTGGCAGGACGTGTTTAACTTTGAGCAAGTCGGGTCGTGACGGATTTTTGGGTGCCCCTCCTTTTGTGAATAGCTTCATCTCCAATCAACCACCACACAACACCACAACACCACTCGCCCAAAGCACAGTAATAGAAAATTGCAAAAAATACAAAAAACTACATCAACAAAAAAAGAAGCGCGTAAGGGACAGACATCTTCAGGCACAACCTTTTTCGAACCCCAGGCCCGTATACACCGACATGCCCACCTTATGTCAGCACACGTCGCCATCCCCGGCGTACCGGCCATCCCGAAGTGCGTTCCTCGTCAGGACCTGCTGAACAGTCGTCACCGTTGCGCCATTCGGATGTCTGTCTGTTGAAAATGGGATCCGGGGAAGTGATATATAAGGGTAGAGGCTCTGCCGGGTGTCTGGCAGTGATGGAGCGCGGGGGGGTTTTCAGGGATGGGTGACTAATCAACCCGGTTGGCTTGGTTGGAGAGATAATGGATTTGGGCATGTTCATAGGTAATGGGAAATGCGTTTTTATTGTATGAGGAGTCTTGGTTGCGCTGTTCTTGAGGAGTTGTGTTTCCAAACTCTCATGGTTACACAAGAATGTGATGGCCCCTATATGAACTTCAAACCTTGACATTGATCGCACTCCACCGCGACAACATCAAAAATTGAGAAGAATCATTAAAGAAAGAGACAAGATTGGATATTCGCTCCACTTCTGTCCATGGGTGAGATCTAGGGCTGTATCGTCACTCAAGAGTTGCGGTCGGGGTCATCACCCTAGCATGAAGCCTTGCTCAAGAAATTGCTCAAGTCGTTAGATGCTGCTACTGCTACCACCAAGACCATGGCCGCCGTCTCTTGGATCAGGAGCCGCTCCTTCATGCAAGGCCTGCGTATTCTCGACAAATACAGTCACCCAATCTGGAAGAAATTCACCGAGACTAGCTGATGAGCAACTTGTGTTCAAATGACCGAGTTTAATGCTACAGAAGAGATGCTAGTCAATCATCCCGAGGTTGAAACCATTCTCTAGAACCTTTGCACTCAATAAAGACCACCGGGATCTTAGTCTACATCACTAGCCGCCTGCCAAGAGAGTTGTGCGGTACCAGCAGCGCTCAGATAAGCTTCATCAACACCACGGGCGCCTTCTGTCCTGCTATCAAGGTCTCGCGATCATGATAACGGAAGCCATGGAGCTTCTGGCTTTATGAATGGGTATGCCATTCTGACGGGGGGGTATTTGACCTGCCCTTCAAGAAGCTGGGGTCACTCCTCTCTGAACCGCAGCGATGGCTGCCTCGGCGATGCTTCGATCTTCATCAAAGGACAAGGTGGACCCGACATTGTCAAAATCCGACCAGACGGGATCAAAATCCTCATTCTCCTGCTGTGTTCCCTCTTCTGGAACAGTGGTAGAGTCTGCTGCAGCAACATACCAGAAGATGATCTTGAGAATCCCTTGTCGTGTAGTGCGTTGAGTAACGGCGATAGGTTCAGTGACAGCTTCCGGGCGGTCCTCGGTCTTGATTGAGGACGGCAAGGTGGCCAGGCTGTTGATATCCACGGGAAGCAATTGGACTCGTATTCCAGTCTCCTCAAAGGTTTCTCGCAGGGCCGTCTCTTCAAGGGACTCATCAATGTCTTTACGACCCTTGGGAAGCATACATTCGCCTCTTCGCCGACAGCGGACAAGGAGAACCTTTGATCTTTCCAAGTCAAGCGACACGGTGCCACAGCTGATGACGAACTGGTTGGAAAAGTGTAGGCTCTTGTCTGTGGAGGACATGTTGGTGCTGGAGAGGTCTCGGGCTGTAAGCGCTGGGGACTGAAGGCGAAGCTAATGGACAAAGTTTTTTTCTTATTCTAGCATATCTTGAGTAGCCATGGCCATCCTCTAGTAAGCTTTTTATGTCTTGTAATTGTACTCTGAGAGAGAAATAAAAGGTTTGGCAAAGAAATCGGCCATGGATGTGAAGGCTGCAAAGTCGGGCTCCGCGGATCAGCATTGATCCGGGATGCTACCGGGTAGGTGTTGGTCAATCGGGTAACAACTTGGAACTCTCCAACTCAAGCACGATCGCCAGCTTCACAAAATGGTCATCCCTTGTCAACCGACGGCTCTCCTACCACTACCCGACTGGCTTCTATTTCCCAAAGAATGCTGAGAATCATTGACCATATTCGTCGTATACCGTGGACTGTAGCCGTCTTTGGAAAATTGGCAAATACATGGAGCGCTCTCGTTCGGTTTGTCGGCTCCGCACTGCGAATCCAGCCTCGCAGCTCGACAGCCCATCACGCATACCCTCTCACATACGAGCAACAAGGCGCGAGGAAGAAGCAGTTTATAGATGGCATTGACCATGATGCCATCTGTAAGCTTGCATCCCGGCATAACAACTGGAAGCCCTGTCGGATATTCGACTCGGCTCATGGCAGCTTCAATGCTTGCTTCTTTGTCGAGTTCCCCGACGACGACACGAGATGGGTCGTAACGAATCCTGATTGAACCTGCTATCTACGACGTCTGGGCCAAGCTCCAGAGCGAGGTTGCCACGATGCGGTGGGGTGCCGGCGACGCACACGCGGCTTGATCGATTATGACTGACCTGCTACTCGACCTAGATGGCAATCTTCTCATCGGCATGTTCATCGCAGATGGCCCCAACGAGAGGAAACCGTAGTATCTGGGTTGTGCCGTTATTAAAGACGAATATCTGGCATACGTTGTATGCGCTATGTAAGAAACCGCCATCATAATAGCAAGGCAGTCGATTAGTTAGGATGCAGGGTCGAACCCCACTGGCATATGCGGCCGTCGATACGAGCCGCATGCACGCGATCTACCCAGTAGTTTTGCTGCACCTCATGATTCAAGTCGAAGCACTTGTTGTAATTCGTGGTGTTGGCGGTAACTGGATGAATTGTTGAAGAGTTCAAGGTCGCGATGACGAGAAGAGATGAGGGAACACACGTGCCAACCTGGGCCAGAGACATCAGTGCCTCTCATTACAAGTCTCTGCAGCCATGTAGCAAGCAGAATGAGATAGATGCCGCGAGTATTGGCACTCAGGGCTAGGAGTCTGACCAACTACCATCGGTAACGTTCCGAGAAAAGTAAAGACCCAGGTGTTTCTACATCTGTTAATGGCCTGCAGGGTCCTCGGGGTGCATGGAACAGGACTCTTCTGTTGTCTAGCGTGCCTAGGGGGAGAAGTAGTGTAGCGGCCACTTTAATGTCTTGAAGGATGCCAGTGTCGGCGACAGAGAGTTCTTATGGCCTGAAGAGCCAGTTAGAACAGTTCTGAAGTCATTGAGCTCTTTCGTGACACTCTAGGGCGAACATAGTTCCCATTGCGCATGAGTTTTGCTTGCCATCATAAAATGCTTGTACCTCGGCCATCCACTCACTCGCTCGTCGGTCTTCCTCGTCGTTGTTAATAAAGAGATTATTTTCTCTGAGATACTTGGTGTAGCGCTCAGAGCTCTGTAGCAGCCTTTGAAGCTCCAGCTGCTTCTGCTCACAACGGAAATACTCGGGGACGACTTTCTGACGGGGTTCAGTGAAGAGTTTGGGGTAGATGAAGCTATAAAATACGTTGACGAGGTGGTGTGGGTTTCGAAATATCTCTGCAGCCCGTGACGTGACCGTGTACTCACAATTCCACTCACTCAGAAGCTTTGAGTGAGGAGAGGAAGTATGCTTTGATGCCAAGACGAAGCGGAACTCTGCAAAGTAGTACTCGGAGGCAGTGATCCATGATGGTGGTGTCAAGTTGCTTGCGGGAACTGTGCCTGCCCACTCCCAGTCAATGATGCCGACAATATGGAGCTCATGATCCACCATGATATTGGACCATCGGAGATCTGTGTGAGAAAGCACGAACGGTTCATCTTGGCGATCAACCGCTACAGGTATCTGACCTAGAGAGTCGAGTGCAAACAGTTCCAACTCTGCCGTCTCCCGGTCCAGGCTTTGGGTAGGCAGCAAGAAATCCCGAAGCAGTCGGCGCTGTTGGGAGATGAACTCGGCCGTGGACCAGCATGGCGAGGGCGAGGGCGAAGGCGAAGGTGAATATCCTTGGATCTTGAGTTCATTTATAGGTATAGAGAAAGCACCGACAATTGCTGGCGTCGAAGTTGAACCTTCGGGTTGGGCCGGCATCAACGAGCCAGCCGCCGAGAACTCAAGGCTTCGTAACTGGGCATAAATGTCGATCAGCTCCGAAAAGAATTGACGTCGGTGTTCTTTCGAGCTGGTCAAAAGCTGCCGCTCGACGAGCTTCTCACCCTCAATTCGATCAAGGATCATGAAAGCCTGCTCCGCAGAGTTATCGTGCAAGAGATAGGCCCGGCCGTACGCGTGAACTCTAGGAATGGGAATCTGTGTATGCTCTTGAATGTACCTAAAACGAAGGTGTTAGTTGTCGAGGTCAAGGCTGAGAGTATGTGGATTTACCGCATCGTGATCGAACCTAATGCATTCATGGCAGGGGCACTCTGTCGACGTGGCTCGTGCAAATAATCAAGAATTATCACCCAAAGCAATCTCACTGTGGTCGAAGCAAACCCTACTCTCCATCGAAGTTCTCCGTACCGGTCGGCGGGGGGGGGGGGGGGAATCGCAGGGTCCACGGCCGTGGCTTCCCGAAGGTGGGGGGACCCCGGAATTTCAACGAGACGTCGGTGTCGGTGGGGATCCACTCTAGAATGCGGGCCGCCGTTGACCTCAGCTCGTTAACTACTAGTGCTTTGGGGTCAATAGGAATCAAGAATTCTCCCAATTTCATTTGCCATACTCGAAGCAACCTAGCGACGTCGACTCATCGAGTTCTTTAGATAGCCTGCCCACGTGGGTCACTCCCCGCCTCCCTAATTAGACATCTGATTCGAACGACCATGCCCTCCGACCGCGGATCCGCGTGTGAAGAGCTGGATCTGGACGGTGGGGGACTGTCTCGTCCAATATTTGGATCCGCCATTGGAACCATGGCCAATGAGAAGAAACAGAGGCTTCTAGTCCCCTCCAGCCCTTTAGCCAGGAAAGCGTGTAAGATGATTTGAGGAGAAATTTAGGCAGTTACCACTTGATGACCTTCTTGTACCGAGACCTAGCATATCTGATGATCTCTGGGAAGCTGGGTGATGTGAGAGGTAAAGGTACATATTGGTTCGCGGAGAATATCATTACAGAGGTTTCTGCCATGAAGCCTCCATCTTGCGCTGTACGCACGGGGAGGAACACCAAAGATGCCAGGACTAGAAGACGCGTCCGTACTACCGTTCGCTTTGGGACAGACTGAAGTGTTGACGCGCGATCAGCCATCATTGGGCCCTCGTCATTGGCCTTAAAGTTGAACCCGGGTCTGGAGGCCAAGGCACACGCACCCGATCCGGTCCGACGTGCCTGGCTGGAAGCGTGTCTGTCGCATGGAAAGGGCATTCCATCAAGTCTCGCAAGATCACAAGGCAATGGTAAGATGGCTAACAGTCGGAACTAGCTTGAGTCTCCTGACGGGGCAGATTTGGGCCATGCTTGGCGCATCCGAGGCACCCAGTCGCAAAGACTATCACCTTGAGCCATGAGGCCGAACCCCCCTTCGCCTAGGGACTACAACCGAATTGCTACTGCCCTCCGTCAGTGAGCCGCTGTTAGACAGCATCTCCATCGAGTTCATCATCTGATTAGCTGCTTGTCTATGCTTGCTTCTCTCGCCCGCGTTGCATAGCCCGTTCTCTATCCAGGCGTGCTAATTTGTCCCGTGTCTCATCGCTCCATTTACTTAACTGGTCCAACGCCTTTTGAGTCTCGGCAGTCCCCTCACAGATTTGTTGCCATTTTGGCTCCTCGTTGTCAATGAGGTTGTTGTCCTTGAGATACTGGGTGTACCGTTCAGAAGCACGCAATCGCATCCCTAACCCTACCTGCAGCTCCTTGTTTTCGGCAAGTTGGAAGAAGCGAGAGACTACCTCGTCCCGGGGTTTCTTGTACAGTTTGGGGTAGATGAATTTGTAAAAGAGCCACACAAGGTCAGATGGATCTAGAAGTATATAAGTCATGGGTAACCTGAGATCGTCTCGAAAATCCCAGTCTTGCGCAAGCTGAGAGTGGCTGGATGATTCTTGTTCCTTTGACGACAAGACGCTCATGAACTCGGATGAAAGATCAACTTTGGAAATAATCGATCCAGTATCATGACCAGTAATCCAAGATGGGGGGAGAAATGCGTGCCGCGGGACTGTGACCGAGAACTCCCAGTCAATAATGCCGCGAATACGAAGCTCCTTGTCCACGATGATATTGTTAACGCGGAGATCAGGGTGGTGCAGGCAGAATGAGTCGTCTGCTGGATCGGTTCTTGGCCCGGAAATGGGTAGAGCTTCCTCTAAGCTCAAGGCGTGGAGCGCAAACTCTTCGCGCTCGGCTTCCTCTCGACCAAGTTCTTGGGAGGGCATTTTCCACATGTATTGAAGCAGCTGATATTGCTCTCGGAAGAATTCCCTGGCAGTGGTGGCTGTGAAGCGTGGGGCTGTATAACCATCGATCTGGAGTTCATTCTTGCGCATCGAAATAGCGCCGACGATTTTTGGCTCAAGGTCGTGATCCATGGTTGATTGAGGGGTCAAGGATTCTTCCCGGTGAAGTATCGACTTGAGTACCTGGGCCAAGATTCCAACCGTCGTGTTTGGCATCAACGAGCCTCCTTGAGAGAATTCGAGCCTTCGCAGTTGAGCAAAAACGTCAACCATGTCCCCGAAAAACTGACGGCGGCAGTCTTCTGAGCTATCCCGAAGCATTTTTTTCGTCAAGGGCTGCCCACCAATGTAATCTAGGACTATGAATGCTTGATGGGCCGAGGTATTTCGCCGGAGCGGACCACAGCCATATGCGTATACTCGGGGGATAGGAATGCTCGTGTGGTCTCGCACATATCTATGGACACGATAAGCCTTGGACTAGCTAGAAGTGAAGACAAGATATAGGCATCGCTTACTGCATAGTATAGACCTCACTGCATACCTTGTCCCATACGTCATGGACCATTGGTTCGATGGGGAGCCTGACAAGCCGGGTAGTGTCATTGGGGAAGTCAAGGACGAAGCAGACATTGAAGCTGCCTTGACGTCTGCATCTAATGCTACAAGGCAAGCCGCCGGTGTACTTGGAGGCCAGGGCACAAACGGCATCCGTGTCGATTGACTCGATGAATTCATCAGCCTTTAGTTTGCGCTGCTGGTCTGTGAGAGGCCTGAGATTGATTGGAGAAGGAGGGCCGCATCTGAAGACGCGGGCAAGGCTAGAATTCCAGAGATGGCAAATTCGTGCAAGGCAATGCGTCCACGAAAGGGCAAACATGCACTTGATGGCTTGGAGCATCGTCAAAGGCGAGCGAGTTGATCAGCATTGATGGAGGGGATGCTCACAGCCTCGACACGGAAAAAATGGGTGTGAGGGGCTTACTAAGCGTGGAATACAAACACATGTAATGCAAGAGAAACGCAGGCATCTTCCTTCAGACTGTATTATCCATATGAAACCATGGATGAGCCAACATGGCCCCCGCGCCGACTCGCTGGGCAGGCTCATAAACGAAAATCTGGGACAGCAAATCAAACAGCAAGTCCACCTCGTGCGCCGAAATCTTGGGCAGGGACCCAATGATTCTATCGACCTTGTCGCAGTATCCACCAAGGTAGGTGTCGTCAATCCTGATGGCGGCGGGTTTCCAAAACTTGGAGTCGTAGCATTTCGGATATGGCTTGTTTTCATCTTCCACGACCATGGCTGAGGAGGACTGAGTTTCGTCAAGGTTTGTCGGTTGGTCCCAAATCTCGCTCACCCATTGCCTCAGCGAGTTTCTTGTGGTGGAAAGTTCTCTCAGGGGCATGCCACGGCTCTTATCCGTTGTTGGCTGACCATCGTCGTCAAATAATGGCCCCTCCCAGGATGTCGGTATCTCTCCAATGTATTCAATAATACATCTCGTTAGATTTGCTGGGCAGTCCACGTCGAGAGTAGAAAATGGCGAAGATCCCGATCTGATGTGTAGAATAGTGCAGCCCAGGGCCCAGACATCACTCGCTGGGCTGGCTGGCTTTCCGACGGCCACCTCGGGGGCCAGAAACCCAACTGGTGTCCCAAGCGTCTCCTCAGGGGGGCCGGACGTTAGAAAAGCTTGATCAAAGTCAATCAAGGAGATATCGTCAAGCAAAAGATCTTCTCTAGACGACATAAAGTCAAGGTAACCAACAATGTATCGCGGAGCCTCTGGACCTGGAATATCACCGGAACACGTTTCCAGTGGACCAGTTCGTGGCTCGCCAAAGAGACGGTAGATGCCTTGATCGTCAAGATGATCAAGGTTGCGGAGTCGAAAAACGATATTGCTTGGAGTAATATCTAGAAGGGATTAGTTCAATTCCAGCTGGAACGAGATGCTTCACTTGCCTCCATGACAGAGGCCGCGAGAATGCAGATCCGCAGTGGCTTTTGCAGCTTGAAAGGCGGCACGGCGCGACAGCCAGGGATGAACCCTGCTCCTCAGGTAATGGGATAGGACGTGGAGAGACGGGCCACATGGAGGTAGAACGAGGCACAGATGACGGCCATTGGGGCCTTCAATATAAAAGTAGCGCTTGTAGGTGATGAACCGGCCGTCGCTCCAATGTGAAGCGATCTTATGGCACATGACTGCTTTCTCTTCGATGACTGGAGACTTGTCGGCAACCACAATTTTGAGAGCCACCCAGCTAGAGAGTAAACAGTCAGAAGCAAGCCATACTGTAGAAAACCCGCCGGCACCAAGCTTATGGACAATTCGATAGCGGCCGTCATCGTAGAGATCGCCAAGGTGAACTGGGTGGAAACCTCCTTCCTGATACAGCTCCAGCTCCTCTGTGTCGCCAACCTGGGCCGGGAGAAACCGAAACGAGTCGTCAGACCGGACGGAGGCGCCATCGGCGTCATTATCTGCAAAGCCAGTCATATTTGTCATCCAAGAGCAAGTAAGAAAAAGAAGAGGAAGAGGAAGCTATGAGTTGAATGGGGGAACCGTAAAGGTGAAGCGTGCGATGAGGAGAGAAACAATATGTAATGCGATTGAGCAAACAACCAAGTTTAACAAGTCAGCCGAAAATTAAGCGGCCAACGTTCGGGCAGTTCAGCCCCATGGTGCAGCCCAGTTGGTGGTCTTAAAGATGCCATGAGGCGGGTGGCTGCAGAGGTGATGCTATAAGGTGAATATGACTCGGTTGAAATATTGTGAGTAGCTTGCCCTATAAGCCCAACATGCTCAAGAAAGTCAATGCCACGTGGATTCCTCTGCTTTTATCCAAGGACTCACACCCTACTACCTATACAGGAGCACCCTCATGCCGCTGAAAGTGGGAAGACGTGGAGGTATTTCGCGAATGGTGCGTGGACAGACGATACAGCTTGACTACATTTATGGGAATATATTACTACCATTTACATAAGATTAACTGCTGAAATGCCATCATACTCTCTTCATAAGTGCTTACATATGTAATATGTATCAATCACATCAACGTCCTCCGTTTCCCATCATGCCGAGCGCAAACCTTGAAGGCTTGCATGTCAGTGGAAGCTATGAACGAGCTCCAACAGCCCGATGATCGACCACGCATAAGCCTGGGCCCCTATAAATCAGCAAAGATCCACTATAGATTAGCGGATAAGCGCTACGACTTTGCTGACGACGCCGCTATTTATTAGCGAGTCGCTAGGTAGGTGGCCCAGAAACCTAATCGCATGGCCCTCCAGCTGCCTCGACCTTCCCAGAAGCTCCGTGTTACTGTGATGAAAGATCATGGGCATCTAGATTCGTGGCACTCGTCGGCGGTTATCCCTGTTTCCTCCAAAGCCAAAGTTGAAGCCATTCCCGTTTGTGTTTCCGTTACCGTCGCCGCTGTTGCCAGCATTGTTACTGTTCACTAGCTCACACACAGCTCGCCAGCACAGCGAAATGGCAGGGTCGGTAAACTACTCTAGTCCGTTGGCGCCGACACCAACGGACTCACAATCGGGGCCGTCGGGAAAAACCACAGCTGTGCTAGTATTAGCGACTTTGACAAGGAAACAGGTTGCATGTATCTTGCCCGTTCTGCGCCAGAGAAGTGGCAACAAAGAGAGAAATGGCGACCGAGAAGAACTTGATGTTGACGATGTTAAGAATCCGGCCAGCGGAAATTAAAAAAGAAGGGTAATTGTCGAGAGAATTTGGTGTTGATGAGGGAAAAGTCTCCTTCATGGAAGAAAGGCCAGATATTTGTACTACCGACTTCTGTTATGCCTGTCAATCCGTCTCAGATCTCCAACATCTTGGCAAATGTCCTGAAGGCGACACTGTTTCGTTGTATCCAACCTATATAACAAATCTGTTGTGAAACAACATGTAAACAAACCTAAGCTTCTTCGTTTTCTCTCCGCTTGAACCAACCACTCTTGCTTTGCCGCTTCAGCTGCTCTCGAGACTTGATCCCCAGCTCCCTAACCCCCTCGTCACCGCAATTCGCCCACCTATCCAACAACTCCCTGGCTTCGACAATGATGTCCTTGTCCTTTGGATTGTCGGCCTTGGTGAGGAGGTATTCCGAAAGTTCAAAACACATGTAGTCTGCCGGTCCAGCCTCCTCGCCTGAAGCGACGTCGTATCCAGTCTCTTCGGCCAGCTTCAGCGCGAAGCGAACAAAATCTTTCCTGGCTGGCCAATTGTTGATGTCGTTCTTCAAACGCGCAAAGTCGTTGTGATATGGTCGTCGACGCGAAGCGAATGTCTCTGTCATCTGGCGGAGTTTCGATATGAGCTCGGCTTCTTCTTCAGGTGATCCTCCAGGGAAGGGGACGGGGAGGATGGCAATGTTCATCAGGGTCGAGTTGGGCAACAGGACAGGCTTCTTGTCTTTGCTCTTCTCGTTACTCTGGCGAACGCGGACCTCATCTGTCTTTAGGATGATTCGTTCAATAAGAGGGTAGCAGTTCTCGCGCCAGCTGGTCCAAGATTCACGGCTCCGGAACCGGTCCTCACACAGCCTCAGAACGATTCTCTCAATCAAGTCATCCTCTCCCTTTTGAAGAAGAATCTCAACGGTATCGAGTAAAAAGTCCTCTAGAGTATGGATCGTGATTCCCTTGTCCTCTAGCTTTGACTGGGTCTCGTGGCTAGGCTTCTGTAGCGCGAGGACGGAGCTCCAAAGTCCAAATTTGAACGCGTCCACGCCCTGATCGTTAAACTGCGCGAGCCAATGCTTGCCGGGCTTGGAGTTGACGAGGTCCCGGTTCTTCTTGATTAACTTTGTGATGGTCTTGATTGCTGGTGTCGGATTGATGTTGGTAAACACCACGGAGCGGATCATGTCGAAAACGGAGAGTGGCATGTAGGCCATAAGCTGGGTAAAGATCGAGGAGAGCATCGTGATGTTGACTGGCATCTTTGGGAGTTCTTCACCTTCGCCGAGGTAAAATTTGTTCTTTGCTAGGAAGAGCTTCATCCAGCGAGCGTTGTTCACGGCCGACTGCTTTAGCGCCGTCATAATGAGCTGCGCAAGCCGTCTCTTATCGTCCTCGTTGAGCCTGGCGGAGTTGGCTTGCTCGACGAGAAGTGCCAGCAGAGGGGTTTCCTCACTGACAGCAGGCAAGTCGGCGCCATCCTCTTCAGCAGCGGTCCAGTCCTCTTCTCTCATAGAGCGTCGTTCGTTGAGGTCTGCGACGACAGGCACAATGTACTTCTCTAGAGCGTCGAGGATATGCGAACGTAGTTCCGGAGGGCATGTTGGTTCTTGCATAGCGCTGATCAGACTGCTGGTAATGGTGATGCGGATATCAATATGTCGTGCCTCGGCGAGCAGACCGATCAGGATGTCGCAAGACGATGAGGCGTTGATAAAGAGGTTGTTCTGCAGAATTTGAGCAAGCATCTTGACTGTGGTGACCTTGATCCAAGGAGTTCGAGTCTTCTTGGCCTCCCCATCAGCCTCCTTGGACTGGCCTGCCTCTTCCTTGTCCATGATCTCGTTCTGCTGCCGTAGTCTCTCCGTCATGGCACCACCCATATTTTGAAGAATCTCCTTTGCCGCCTTTGCCGGAAGAGACGAAAGAAAGGCAACGCTGAGCAGTTGCCGATGCCATGCAGAGCTCTCAGCAGCGCCCTCATCATGAAGAACGAGGTCTCGGATGAACGGGGAGGCCAAAGCCGGCTGGTCAGAGTTGGCAATGCTCTCAATAACCCAAACAATGTCTCCCATGTGCACACGCATCGCCTCGGCTCCTAAACGCGACCGCATTTGATCCAGCAGAAACCTCGCGAGGTACGCCAGCTGCACAGGAGAGATGGACGTATACGCGAGCTTCTTATAGGCAAAGAGGCCCGAGGCTTCAAACTTGCGAGACCGCCCAATGAGGGATGAAAAGTGAGATGAACTACGGAGGGCATCAGATGTCGGGTTGCGAACGATGGCCTCCGCCTCAATAAGAGTGTCCATAGTTGGCTTCCAAACCGTCTCAACCATGATCGTCTCGCACTTTGCAAACTCAGCCGCCGTGCACTTTTTGAGCTTCTTCAAGAAATCTTTGACATTGTCGAATCTCTTGTCGGCCACGACTCTCAAGAGGCCGATCACAATGTCCCAGTCCCGGCGCTGGAAGCCAGGTTCGCCAACTGCCTTGGTTGCCGTCTCCAGAAGGTCGATGAGGATCCTGTTTGCGCGCACGATATCTTCCTTCACCACTGACGACGTGAATGACATGGCGTTCTCTGGGGTTTTAACACGTTCTGTTGGCATGGAAGTCAAGAGAGCTGCCAATTCCCTTGTTTTAAACACCTTGTGGCCATACAACTCCTTGCACGCCAAAGTGTCCTTGGTAAAACGGCGCGCCCACAGAACAGTATCTCCCAACGTCTCAATGTCATTGGCAGCGACGCACAGATTCAGCGCCGACATTGCCCAAAAGGCACGAAGTCCTGGCTCCCGAGCCTGTTGAGAGTTCACTCGCCGCTCCTGGATAAGTGCGCGGGTACGTTCAAGCCAACCCTCGTGCTCATTTTCCGTCTTTGACGTACGGATGAATAATGCTCTAGCAACCTCGACGTCTGCAAAGGTGCTAATATCAGGCCTCTGACGCTGCGCAATGACCGAGTAATCGGATCCAGGGCTCAAGAAGTCGCTGCTTGGATGGGCCTTGTCCAGTCTCTCAAACAGCTGCATTGCCTTTTTCGAGTCAACAGTCAAGAACAAATCGGCGGGCCAAAGACCTTTTTCGGTAGTCAATTTCTTCAGCCGATCAAGACCAGAGTCTGACCCATCGTCGATATCGATCTTGTTGTATCCTTTGGCGTGGAGGAAGAGTAGACGGAGGAGGTCATATCTCGCCTCGCTATTGAGCTTCTTGGAGATGGCCATGACATCGCGAAGTGAGTCTACGCCATCCCGTCGCTGATTCGCAGGAGATAGCTCAATCAGCTGTATCAAGTCGCTCTTGAACCGTTCCTTGACGTCGCTGTCCACGGGGGCCTCGTACCATCGGTCGATTGTATACTGTACAGGCCCGACAACGTGAAAGAGGTTGAGTTGATTCGAGATAATCTTCTTGTGCTTCTGGATGCACTTCACCACGAGATGCAGATACTTCTGTCGTGTTTCGTGATCGAATCTTCTCTTGAGCAGGCGTTTGAGCAACGGCATGACCAACTCGTCAACAAAGTCGTTAGGGACACGGATATCTCCCTCTTTGGCAAGGAGGGTATCCAAAATCTCCTCACTAAAGGCCATATTACCGCAAAACAGTCTCCTCTGCGACAAGAATGTCAATTCCTTGCCGCGAGAAAATATGTCTTCGAGGAACTTCTTCTCATGTTGCTCGCGGTGTCCAAGGGACAATCTCTTCTGCTGCGGCGACGTCCATTCGACATGTCGTTTATTCTCCCACTCCTCAACCACGTCCATGGTACACGCCGGCACAATGTTCTGATAAAACTCCCTCAGCGGACGATCATCTTCGCCACTATCGCAGAGTAGTTCCACAAGCTCCCCAAGAGCCTTGCGTCTCTCAGGTCTCGCCTTTTCAGCCGAGGCTGTACGTCCTAGAGCCTTGCACATTGTACGCACGTCCTTGACGCTGAACTCGGCCATCAACTGGGCGAGCCCAGTAGCTCCGCCGACAGCATCCCATGTCGGCTGGAAGCGGTCTCCACGACGGAGAGCCTTGGTGAATTGGCGGATAGCGTCCTGGCGTTTACTTGCGCTGTCTGTCTGTCGCAGCTCACCTACAATCGTACGGCTGTCGGGACGAGGCATGCTTGCTGTTGATGATGGTGATGATGATGAGTCGAAGTGTTGGTTGCCTAGTGCCTGTCAGCCCAGTTCTTTAAGCGACCACGTCAGCACAGCCTCACCGCTATCATCCTTCAATTGCCGTGCCTCTCAAAAGATTGATCCCATCTAAGTAATGACCGAGCAGGTATTAACCGGGGTCTGAAGTGACCTGCTGCATTTGGCTCTTCATCTCTTGTGTTGGTTATGGTTGCGGTATTGCGGGGCTGTGGCCAAGCACCTAGGTAGACACCCACCCAGGTCGAGGGAAAAGAGACGTTCAGATACAGCCTTGAGTCTGTTCTTCCCTGAAGATGATAAAGAGAGTATAGTGAGAATAATAAAAGAAGGTCTAGAGCTTAATCTTTACTATGGTATATCTTTAGTTAATCATCATGCTCGACGGAATGTTCTGGTGTCTCGTTTGTCTCAACCCGGTGGCACCCCCAGGCGTGACGATTCTCCCGTTTGCTTCAACCAAACACTCCGTAGCATGGTCTGAATAGCTTGCATGAGGCCTAAGATCGGACGAAAGGGCACGTAATCTCTAAAATGGCAGGATGATATTGCCAAGAATGAATTGCTGAATGCATTGAGATCCCCTCTGTTTGCAGAGTTGGCACATGCGACAGTCGCTGAATCGGGATGTGTGACACTAGGCTGAGTCAACAATCCCTGGTTTCAAACGCGTCCCTGAATCTAAAATGTTCAAAGATTTAATACCATTTCTTATTTTTATCTCTTGTTCAGTTCATAGTCAAGCTGTAAAGCGAGTGCTCTTTATTGACTGAACTGGGCGCAGCTGTCCTGGTGTCTCAAATTTTTGAACGTCCGCGTAGATCGTTGAACCCTGGATCTCACCCATGCACATTGATAAGAAATGGATCTCAATGCGCATCAATCAATCGGCATCACTTTGGTATCCAATTGACACCCACGGGTACTTCTTGGCATGGCAAGTGTCATCAAAGAGGTCTCGCAGACCAGGTTCATACAGGTTTCATAATAGCTAATCATACAATCCAACAGCCTCAAGCTTAGGCACCAAACTTCTTGTCCTTGTCCGCGACAAAGAACTCCTTGCCCGTCGACTCCTTGTACTTGTCGCGGATAAAGTCCGAGATGGCCTCGTCCTTGGCCTGCTCGGCGGCGCTCTCGTTGCTCTGGTCGCCCTGTCCAAGGAACTTTTCCTGCATGTAGTCGACAGCTAGAAGAACGTCAGCACTGGTTCAACATCAAGTGTTTGTGGGGGAGTTACCCTTGTCGAGGCCATCCTCGTTCTTCTCGCCCTTGGCACCACCGCCCGCCATGCCGTTGATCTTGTCCATGAACCCGCCGCCGCTGCCGGACTCTTGGTTCTGGTTCTGGTTCTGGTTCTGGTCGGCGTTGTTGCTTCCGCCTCCGGTGACCTTGTTGAGCAAATCCATGATGATGATTGAAGAGATGAACGGTTGAATTGAGGTATTTCAGTGAGGGCGTTGGAGATGAATGTGCAGGTTTCAGGTATGATGAGGAGAAAAGACAAGAATCTCACAAGACGTCCCCCACGACGTCCTTATATAGCTACGCAGCACTTCGTCACACACGGCAGGAGGCCGCACAAGGCGGGGTCGATCAAGGACCGAATTTCTTGATCGCGGGTGGGAAAGATCCACTGACGCAATGAGAACAAGGGTTGCACTTAAGGTTGTGAGACCAGACACGGGAGAGCATGGGACTTGGAAGATGGGAGCTGAAAGATGCGCACCAGTGACGTTGACGTCGTTGGCGATTGGCTGCCCACTTCAGCTTGCAGGTGGGATAAGGTGCGGCGTCCAAGCTCGCGTGCCCCTCCATGAACCTGGGCGAGCTGCGCTGAAATGCAAGTTTAGCGAGGCCGTGATTCAATGTCAAAGGGTTCAAAGAAGCGAGGGGGCGGAATGTCTTTTGGCGAGACCGTGATTCAGAATTTTAGTGAGGCTGTGATTCATCAAGTCAAAAGGGTTGCATGAAGCCGGGGGCGTGTCTTTTGGTGGAGCCGTGATTCACTGTCAATGGATTGAAGCGGGGGGTCGATTTCTGAGGCCGTGATTCACTGCCACGGGGACAATCTCAGATTCCTCTCAGATTGTGTGGATCTTGATTAAATTTCCTAATCCGTCTCCCGACGATACAGTGTCAATGCACGCACTTACCGTGCAACGTACTGTGCAAATCCAGAACACCAAATTTGGTATCACGGCGAATTGGGGGAGATGGGTGAAAATGTGGCAGAGATTGAGGGCATAATGGGCGCAATCAAGTGGAAAGAGTGAATTGAGCATGCACAATGAACAGATGGAAACAGCAAGTGTGTGAATCTAGCTCTCTATTAGGGGTCATTATAGCTATTCACATGAATTCGATCCTTTTGTAATCCCTTTTCATAACCAGTTCCATCATCTCTCGTAACCTCGTAGCCATTGCCCTTCGTAGACATTGTCCTTCGTAGCCATTGTCCTTCATAGCCATCATCCTTCGTCAAGTCCATCCAGTCATGTCGAGTCCGCCTAGATGTAAGGGGTGTACATGCCGTCGGCATCGATCACGGCCTGGCATCGAGCAGGCATGCTCTCAATCAGAGCCATCAGGTGGGCGTCTTCCATCCCGTTCCAGGTCTCGATGGCCTCAACGACTTCGCTGCGGTTTCGGAGGTGGGGAACCTGGCGGTCTTGTTCGATCTTCGTCTTCATCATGTCAAAGGCGACGGCCATGAGGTCGAGGTCGGGAGAGGCGGGAGGCAGCTGGAGAACCTCGATGTTCTTGTTCTGGAGTTCGGCGCGGATGGCGGCGTCGGAGTGAGCAATGGTGCGGTGTTCCATGCAGTACTTGGCATTGTCTGGCTGCTGCTGGAGCCAGTAGCTCATGCTTGGGAGAACCCGTTCGGAGTGGTTCTCGGCGTCAATGGTGCCCCAGCTTGGGTCCCAAAAGACGCTGGTGCTCTTGCCCTTGAGGCCGGAGAAGCTGGCCCAGAAGGTGTTGCCGTTCTGGAGGTGAGCATCGTCGTCAATGATGCAGGCAGGGTCGCGTTCTTCGAGGATGGTGCGGGTGACATGGATGCGAGCGTGAGGTCCAGTCATGATGCGAGTCTCACCAGACCAAACGACGGCCTTCCACTGCTCGACAGTCCAGTCGACGTGCTCCTGGGCCCAGTCGAATCGAGCCTGGCGGAATTCTTCGATGATGGTGGGTCGAATGAGGGCGGGATAACGCTCGTACCCGACTTCGCGCAGCGCATTTCCGATGACGGCAGGCTTGCACTTCCATCCGAGAGATGAAGCAAGCTTGTTGAAGTCCATGCGGCGAGTGTCTCTGGAAGAAAGGGTGTAGGCAAGGACAATGAGGAGTTGGGGCTGGTTAAGGACGGGGAGTTGGCCTCTGGCGGTAGTACCCTTGGGTACGGAGGAAGCCTCGGTGATCAGCATTGCGTACTGCGCCTCGCGGGGGGTGAACTTGAGATGGATGGCAATGCGGTTGTAGTCCCATCCAGATGAGCGGAAGAGAAGGCACTTTCTCTTCTGCTCCGAAGTGATGGGCTCGCTGGGTGCCATCAAGTTGTTGTAGACGCGGAGCTTGGCAGCCATTGAGTTCAGCTGGCAGTTCTCGCGACGATGCTGCTTGAGAACCTGCTGAGAGGTCGTGGGACAGTTGAGGACATTGGGGGTGAGTCGCGCATTGTGTCTCTGACGCTGGACCTGGCGGAAAGGATCGATTGTGAGCTCGTTGGTACGGTACTGCAGCTGAGTGATGGCAATGCCGATGAGATCAGGGGCCAGAGGGCCGTTGATAAAGACAGGAGGATTGTAAGCCATCTTGACTCAATTGGTTGGAATTGTTCAATGAAACAAAGTTTGAACAATGATGTTGGTGGTTTGGTGTTTGTGTTCTTGTCTTGAGATGGAAGACAAGTACTTGCACCGAGAGCTGTGTGGTGGGGAGCTTTTGTCTTGGTGGTCCTGATGGAGCCAAGATAAATTGGTACCTGGGTGGGGACCTAGAGGGGTGCGTTTTTGTGGTGGCATGGGCGTGGCTCAAGCGAGAGGGCTTCAGGGCTGTGGCTTGGCCGGCTGAGTCAACGCGACAAGGTAGGTATGACGCATACAGGGACCGCGACAACCGCTCACCTCGAAAAAAGTTCAAGTATCGCGACAAGACGCCTTTTGGACAGAGTCTTGGTTCGCCATCATTGCCTTTTATCCCCGACAGACATAGAATAGTCCTTGCAATGTCCAAGGCTAACGAGGATATCCTCAGGCGTCCCCTGTACCGTAAGGAATAACCCCTCACCCCGCCATTGTTGCCCCTCAGGTCGCTAACTGGGATCGCCAGTCTATGACCTGCCGCCAGAGGTCCTAGACACGTTGACGCTCAAGTCCGATGCCGACACCGAAGCCATTGTCGAATCGTCGATCTCGTCTCCCTCCAATAGCCCCTCCGCATCCGACAGCAACCTCGTTGGCTCCCAGGCTTGTTCCCTCTGCGGTCTCGCATTTACCACTGTGATAGACCAGCGAGGGCATCTCAAGTCTGACCTGCACCACTACAACCTCAAGCAGAAGCTCCGAGGGCAGAAGCCAGTGTCAGAAGTCGAGTTTGAGAAGCTGATTGGGGACTTGGATGAGTCGTTGTCGGGCTCAGATTCGGACGAGTCGGACGAGGAAGAGGAGGACAAGCAAGAATCGACGCTTACAACACTCCTAAAGAAGCAAGCGAGGTTAGCAGATAGACGGGAGGACACAAATGGAGACGAGGAAGAAGATGATACCGCTGGTAGGAAAGGTCGTGGCAAGCCGCCCCTGATCTGGTTCAGTTCCCCTGTGCTCCCTGAGAAAACATACTTTGGCATGTATCGTGCCATCCTCACAGGGGAAGAACAACGGAACCAGGACCTGGTCGAGGTCCTCAAGAAGAAGCAAGTCGACCCAATCTCGATACCCAAGATGCCCAAGGACGGTTCGATACCCGAGATCGCGTACAAGGGCCCGCACATCTTCCTCTGCATGATCGGAGGCGGCCACTTTGCAGCCATGGTTGTGTCTCTTGCGCCGCGACCAAACAAGAACGGCACAACCATGAACCGAGAAGCGACGGTGTTGGCTCACAAGACGTTCCATCGGTACACGACACGACGAAAGCAGGGTGGCTCGCAGTCAGCCAACGACAATGCCAAGGGTGCAGCGCACTCAGCCGGTTCAAGTCTGCGACGGTACAACGAGCAGGCCCTGGTGGAAGATGTACGAAATCTGCTTCAGGACTGGAAGGCTTTGCTTGACACGTCAGAACTGCTCTTCATCCGGGCAACGGGTGTGACAAACCGGAGAACTCTTTTCGGTCCATACGAAGGCCAGGTGTTGAAGCACAACGACACTCGCCTGCGAGGCTTCCCTTTCAGCACGCGACGAGCGACACAGAATGAGCTTATGAGATCGTTTATCGAGTTGACCCGACTAAAAGTCCGTGAGATCGATCCTGCTGAGGTTAAGAAGGAGCCTGAGTCCAGTGCGACTCCGACAAAGACCCAGTCGAAGCCTTCAAAGCCCAAGTTGTCAGAGGAGGAAGAGACAGCCTTGTTACATACCTCTCAGCTTCAGGCTTTTACACGGAGAAGCAAAGTCCCCGCCCTCCTCTCGTACCTCAAGAACAACAGCCTCTCTCCCGACTTTGAGTTCCAGCCCGTTGAGCAGAACCACCACGCCCCGCGACCACTCCATCTTGCAGCAGCCCAGAACGCTGCACCTCTCGTGCTAGGACTCCTGGTCCGAGGTGGTGCTGATCCCACGATCAAGAACGACGAAGGCAAGACTGCGTTTGAACTCGCTGGCGAACGAGCAACCCGTGATGCTTTCCGTGTGGCGCGATCGGAGCTTGGGGAGGCTAAGTGGTCTTGGGACTCGGCCAAGGTACCACCTGCGATGACGAAAGCTGAAGCCGACAAACGTGACGAGCGAGAGAAGAAGGAAGCGGATACAAAAGAGACAGAGCGACGACGTGCGGAGGAGGAGAGGCTGCGAAGCGAAGGACCCAAGGTGCCTGAGGGGCGGAAGCAAAAGGGAAACACGCTCTCTGCAGGATTAACAAAGACGCCTCAAGAGAAGAGAGAGGCAGAGTCTAGAGGATTGACGCCGGAGATGAGGGTGAGGTTGGAGAGGGAGAGGAGAGCGAGGGCAGCAGAGGAAAGGATACGGAGGATGCAAGGTGGTAGTTAAACAGGTCAGAGAGTAGATCAGTAGCATTCTTCCAAGGCAGGATAAAACAACATCTTCCTGAACCAGCTTCTTTTGACCATTCCCTGATTGAGGTTCACCTGGTGGTTCGTCTATTGTCGCAAACTTATGCTCCACTCCATGTGAAGTACGAAATAAGCCCAATTAGGCAAGGGAGCATCAACGGCAACTCAGAACATTGCCTGCATATCCCACAACCTTCCTAAATAGTTTATAGCCTTGAATTCACCAATTTCACTAGAGATTGAGACTTGTCAGCCCAGGGACCGAGCCATTGGACGTTAGTGTCGCTCTCTCTGCAATGACTGCTCTGCCTGCGTCGATACCCACATGCAACACCCCCAGCAGGCTCCGGATGCCTTTCTCAATTGTTTCCTCAGCATTTCTAGAAGCACAATGGCTTAGATGTGGAAGCCTGAGCCCCCTTCTAAGAATGGATGTTTACATGGGTGGCACCTAAGAGGTGGACATACTTCGCACACTTGGCCATTTACCACACTTTTGTTCACATGATGCATAGTTTGACGAGACATCGTATTATTTTTTGAGATCATGACGTTCTATTGTAATTATACTTCTAGACTAGGTCACGACAGTCACCTCTTCCCTCTACCATACTTCTACGTCCATGCAAAGAATGATGGATCAGCAGCGAACATTCTACTGGCTCCAGAGACGGGCACAGCCGAGCGCAAACATGCCATCAGGTCGAGGTCCAGTCAGTGTGACATTCTCTCCCTGCTCCATGATAGACTGCTTCACCCGAAAGTCGACGTAATCCGCACCAAAGCTAGCATGCATGGTCATGGACAACCACTGCCCCTCAACTGAATCCTCCATCTTGACCGTGATGGGACCATATTTGTAGTTAGGCCCCATGTATGTCGGCCAGTTGTACAGCCGGTCTGGGGCGGGGGGGGCATAGCTGCTCTTGGACGGCTTTGGCATGGACATGTACACTGTAGTCCGGTTGTAGGAGTCTGTCTTGAACTTGACGTGCAACTCCTTAGCTTCGATGCCAGGGTTAATTGGCTTCGGCAGCTGAACCATGAACTCATGCCCCTCTTCATGGGGGTTTCGGTAGACGTTGAGGGGATAGGGGAGGATCAAGGGGGTAAGGTAAGACTCGACAATGTCAATAACCATGAGGCGCCATGGGTCAGCCGTCTCGAGGGCCCTAACAAGTACTTCCCTAGGGCGGCTTGATCGGCGACTAAAGAAGTTGAAAGGCATCTTGTGATAGATGTGGGCGTGTTTGGTTGTGTAGGTGCTTACTGTGTTGCTTTAATAAAGCGATGGGTTATTGTCTTGCTGGTGAAAAGGTAATTAGGAATCGGAGCTTAATAGAAAGGTTGTTGATATTTAAACTTCTGTATGACTTTGAGAAGTAGTTGTTCATAACAATGGCTGTTCAGTCTTTGAAATGTCCCTTGAAGTGAGCCAGAACATTGTCATTGTTGAACGTGAACAAGCCATCTCTTTCTTTATTGGCTTCCAAGCACGGCCAGTTGTCTTAAACTCACTCTTTATCTACTTTGCAAGGGAGACTTGAGATCAGGCGTGGGACGTGAAGCCAATTCTAGATACGATAGGAATCACGACCGTTGAAAGCCCGCATGCAATCAGAAAAGTTACAAGTTCTGAACAACGAACAACGGTCAAGGCAAAGATTCCACTAGCATGTAGATAGTTTACCTGTCAGTTATATGACTACAGTTAGCTGTCGGCTGCGCTTGATGCACAGCCTCGGAACACAGTTGTGGAGGTTCTGAACAGCGAGAGGCGGTAATGATTTTCCAAGACGTACAGACACGCTCATAGAGCTCATTACAGTTTCAAGAGAAATTCTAATGCGCACGACACCCGCAAACCCTAAATCTTCTACCACTTTTTTCTACTTGCGCATCTGAGAGCTGGTGGCGTCTCTCATTCAAGACTTGTGTTTCCACCATTAACCTTCTATGGCGGCCGTTATAGAAGCTTGAAATTGTGTGATTGACTTCACTGTAGAATTCTAATAAGTTCACGTATATAACTGCGCTCTTTGTCACTGTGGGTAATGAGCTCTTCAGACATGTCGTGATGCTCAATATCGCCAACTCATCCATGTCCGCACCAGCCTCACCTGGCACGGAGCAACCATCCCACGTCAAGTTTCTTTGTTGTCGGGAATATCAACTCCATGAATGCGCCATGATCCCATTTATAGCAAGATATAAACAAAGGCCCTCGGTCTCGGTATCGTGTCAAAGGGACACAAAGATAAACATATTACTCCGCCACGAGGTTCGTGCCCACACCCTGTACACAAACCTTCCGAGAGTCAAAGAACTTTGGGGACAGTACCAACGGTCAAGTTTCATGTTATTCCCGGTCTCAAGGAAATCAAGAGACACGTCGGGGCCAATTTCGTCCCCCCTCTCGTGGGCAAATATCTTTCCCCTGTAATGGTACATGGCACCTCACCACATCTACGTACTCAGCCTCATGCAAGGGGGAAAAAACATGGCCAACACCAAAAGAATCAACTTGAAACAAGGGTTGGAATTTACTTTAATGACAAATTCAATTACATGAGAACAAACAGACTTGGACTCCTCCTCTATCCGGCATCATTCCATCATTGTGGACACTTGAGAAGGTTGGCATAGACATAATCCCACGCACGTTCAGACTGCCCCATGATCAAGGCCAGATACATCCCCTTGGGACCTTGATCGATCTGACCCGTGACTGTGTAGCCTTCGATAGGGGTGACGAGGGTCTTTTGGTACCAGTTCATCGCACCTACAGGACCGACAAAGTTATACCCATCAGTATCGCGCGGGCACACCAGCATCTCCACCCGCATTGTCGACTTTGTCACCTTTATCTGGACTTCAAGCTCCTTTGGCCCATTTGGGATGATAGGATGACGGGAGTGTACCGTGTATTTACCCACACACTGTGAAGCGGGAGCGTCCACGTCCTGCTCCGTCATCATGTATGTCTCGTCCAGGATATCCGGGTTCATACAAGGACTAAAGTAGCCATGCAGAGCTTGGCCGATGAAATTGCCGATCTTGGTTTCCAGCAACACTTGGGCGCCTTGGATCCCGTCGACCTTTTTCCGCCAATCCGTCTTGGCCTGTCTTGCCTCGGTCATGATGGCGTCGATGGACGGTGGGGGTGAGTTAGGGTAGAAAGTTCTTTTGTTGTTTGCCATGAACTGGGAGAGTTGGGCAGTTATTTGCCTTAGGAAGGGATTTTGGGATACTTCTTGCCAGAAGCAGCAGTGGTTATCGTTGTGGCCATTGTTGTTGTTGTCGTCGTCGGTGTTGTTACTATCGGCACCGATCCAGCCGTTGGTCTTCCAGTGGATTGTGTCATTGCTGCATTTGCTGTTCTTTTGGCCATTGTTAGCCAAGTTACCATTCTGCTGATTGTTGCCATTCTGCTGGCTGTTGCCGTTCTGCTGGTTGCTGCCATTGTTCTGGTTATTGCCATTGGACTGGTTGTTGCCATTGTTCTGGTTATTGCCATTGGACTGGTTGTTGCCATTGTTCTGGTTATTGCCATTCCGCTGGTTCTGCTGGTTCTGTTGGTGATTGCCATTGTAATGGCTATAACCGTTGTGCTGGTTGTTACCATTCTGCTGATTATTGCCGTTGTTCTGGTTATTGCCATTCTGCTGGTTACCTTCATTCTGCCAGCCGTTGTTTCTGCCTCCTTTGTTCCAACCTCTCCGATTTCTTCCCCTGCCGTTATAGCCGCCACGGTTGTCGTGATTATTGCCCATTTTTACGATTCAGTGTTCAATGATGATGATGAAGTTGGGGAAGGTGATGCAGGTTATTCGTCTCTGAAGCCGATAGGGGAACTCGAGGTGAATCCCTCGGCTCGTCAACTCTTAAGTATCTAACCAGTGTACGTAGCTCATTGTTCAGAGTTCATTGTTCGCATATCAGAATGAAATGTGAACAGAGAGAACTTGAACATGGGATATCCTTTTTTGTGTCGAGGTTCATTGTCCGTACAAGACTTGAACAACAGCGTACAAAGGATAATGGGTGGTGGCCCAAGAGACCAGCCACCAGAAAATTCAGACACTAACTCATCCTCTGAATTGTCAAAGTCTCTTGTAGGGTCCCATTGAAACCTCGTGTACGAGCACAGTCAAGCATCGACATGGGAAAGGGGCATGACCAACCGGTGATCACTTGGGGTCCAGAACTGAACATGGCGGACACAAGCTGATGCCATCGTTGTGATATGGCCTGGACGCCTTCGGCACCATTATAGACAAGGTTTTCATGTCGAGTTGAAAATCAGAGTCTCCTCCCAAGTGTCTAACCCCCACCAAAAGGCTTGCTACGTTCAAGATGCATGGGCCAGCCTCGAACAGCAGCAGAACTGTCAAAAGGACATGTCATCGCATCGTTATCATCAAGGCACGGCAAAACTGTTCCAACAGAAACCCCTAGTATTTCGCCGTCTCCGTTGTCGGATCCTTTGGGGGGTAAATTCCAAAGAGGCGGGCCGGTCGACGAGCAGGGGACTGCAGATAAAGACCATGGGACAAAGGATCCACGAAAGAATGGAACTCGGCAACATGACACCTCACACAAAGAACCAAAGGAGTTGGCTCTGGTAGAAGGCGGACGGAAGTGAAGAAGCCGAGGTGTGATCACCTGGTATCTCGCGTCGGTTCATGAGGTGCTGAAGAAATGCGATTGGTGGTTGGACAACGGAAAAAGAGGAAACTGAGGAAAGGAAGCTGGAACACTGTCAGTACCAACTTGCGGTGAGAGTGACGCTTGAACAAGTCGAGTTATCGTCTTGTTCAAGGCTCCATCGTGGAGTCTCTAGAGTCCCAGTGGTTTAACCAACAGAGAGTGCGGCCAAGTCGCAACACCTCTTTGTTACGACACCTGAAGTCATAACAGGCCTCCAAAGCTGAAATTCGGCTCAGCCCTAGAGTTTCGCATAAAAGAGAACTCGAATGCCTTTTCTGTCCAAGAGATCTGCCGAACGAGTGGGCAACACGGGGTTAAGTGGTTTGAGCCATATCGCTGGTGAAACCGGCCCGAGTCCGTGTCCTTAAAGGGGTTGACAAATATAGAAGCCCGAGGCGGGCCAAGAAAGAGGCAACCTTGATGATCATCTTGAGATGATAGCCCTGGAAGGCGCTCGCTCGCATGCCCAAAGCGAAGGCCTCCATGGATCTATCTCTGGCCATGGTAGAACTCATAGATCCATGACCCTTGCCGGCCCTGTGATGAAGCCAGGATGAATAAGAGGTAGAAACGAAATCCACCACTCAGCTGGGCACGGACAAGGACAAATGGAAGATTCCGCACTTCACTGCCACCTCCTAGGGATCCCAAAAGAGAAAAGGAAGCGGCGTGCTTCAGGTGTCCAGCGCCCGATGTAGCATCACCTCCGCCCATGGACCAACAGAGGAAAGCACCGGAACCAAGCTGCAGGTACCCGGTCCTGGCCGACTAGCAGGCACAAGGCTGGCAGGCTGGGCCGTCGTCGGCCGCACGAGTTGTTCATAGGCCATGGTCCGGTTCCCCTGTCGGAGGATGCTAGGTACGGCATCTCGCCACGGCCATGTCCCCACGAGGGGTTCGGCAAACGCAGACGGAAAAAACATGGCACCAACGTCCAAGGAGAAATAATTTGACGGTGAAGCTGTTGGTTGAGTCAAGACTGCTCGCTGAAATCCTTCCGTAGCTCTGCATCCTTGGCCATGAGAAAACAAAGCCGGCAGCCAACTCGTCGGGCATTTTTGTGCATGAAACGGCCGGACAACCACCAAAGAAGACGGTTCTGGGCCGACGATCAGTGGGGAAGGCTGAGGCAAGGGAACCTGGCACGAGAAAAGGAGGAATCGGAGGCCTGGAAGTCGATCGACCAGGACGGTTAATCAATCGCCCAAGCGTCTGGCGATGAACGTGCCACAGGACATGTCAAGAGGGCAGAACTCGATGCCTGTATCCCAAGGTTACCTGCGAGTGAACCAACATACGCACGCGAATCTTAAAAAACGTACGACCTTGGTTTGATTGCAAATGTGCACTTAGCAGTTGATTGAGGCCCGCTCTGCGACACGACGCAACACAAAAGTGCACCGAATTAACTCGTAGTCTCAACGTAGAGACGTTGCTTCACCGTTCAAAAGTAAAAAGAGGGTCGCAGCTTGGGTGGATGGCGTCGGTCGGTAGCTAACACGGCCATGACAGATCAAATCGCGGGTTTCAGCAAAAGCCGCCATCACCGCAACTCGAAACGTGATAGAGCCAGAAAAAGAAGACACTGGGGAGCACCCTTGCTTCTTTGATCTTTCTGGCTAGTGTCGCCTGGGATCCCTTCGGGCGGGCCAAGAAAGTCCCCGGTCATGAACAGAGAGCACAGTGAGCACTTCGCCAGGGGTAGCACATCCCATCATGGCTCGACCTGCGAGAACGACCCCTGACAGAAAATACGACAACCCCCGGAAGCGGCGGGATTGGCGACGTTCCGTGATTGACATGTTTTTCCGTCTCAGGCCGTCTCTGAGACTCCAGCCGGGAGCACTTGGACCAATTCGCAGCGCCGTAATTCACCATCCAACAAGTGGGGGATGATGTGCTTCTAGAAGCCCTTTCAAAACAAGCGACGCAAGAGGCGCAAAATGGGTCCGACGGCGCGCGGAGACTACGGCGAACCGTCGTTGACGGACGCCAAAACAATGGCGTGAGCAAGCCACAGGGAGCTGTCTGTCGATAAGCTCAAGCGTCACTGGTAGAAGCGGGTTAGTGTTCAGGTGTCTAGTCAACAATAACAGTTCGTACCTGAACCATAGTGACGTTGACAAAGTTCCTGCTTCCGAGAGGCTGCGGCGTAAAAACTCTGTGAACAGAACGGGAAATTAAACAAGGAACCGTGGACTCCGGTCTACCAAACAAGTGTGATGGAGGACCATTCCGATTCGGCCGTCGCCAGATTCAGGTGAGGGAACCGTGTTTTGGTGGAATCGGTGACGGACGGACTCAGTTTCATACCTGAAGGCTGTGCTTTTTTGTTTCAATTGTTGCTGTATTTGGTTGAAACATTTTGGCGAGAGAGAATTGGCGAGAGAGAGAGGTTGGCGAGTAAGCATGCAATCAAGGTTGATGTGAAAGATCCTTGACAGCCTTCAATGCGACCCGTCATTCATATCACAAACGAGCGTGTTGAAGGCCTCTCGATAATCTTCACCCAACGTTGGGATCTCCGTGTCGTAAAATATGCTTAAATCATGCGGTGCAAGTTCTTTAACTGCAATCGACTCTTCATATCCTATCATTCTTGTCTTGTCCCGCAAAGGCGGTTGCTGTTGAGATGCTGGCGGTTAACTCTGATCTTCATCACCTACCCGGGACTTGAGAGCAACGGCCCATGCGCGCTGATCCGTCCGTAAATGGAGAGATCTCATCGAGTGATTCCCAGAATAAGCACAAGTAAAACTGAGCGGGATGTTTCATAGGGCATGATCCTTGCCATGTCTTTTTTTGATACCCTCCAGTGTCCAATATGGCTTTGTTCAGGATCCATTGGTAAACTTGGAGGGCGGCAAGGCTGGACCCTTTGCTGCTTTGTCTCGGATCGGGTCACTGACTGTGTTGTGATTGGCTGCCCTGATGTTGAAACAACCAGGGGCAGCCTGTCCTGAGACAACTCCAGCGTCAAACGACGCCACGCGATGGTAGCGCGGGCTGGGTGCTAAAAATGAACATCCACCAAGACGGAAGATTGAAGAGAAAGAAGAAAACTGGGGAAGTCATGGACTTGGGCGCCATAGTTTTGCCTTTTCTGGTTCCGACAGCTATGACGAAGGCGGAATTGTCGATGGCAGAGATGTAGAGGGACCTTTGCTTGTGGCCTTGTGCTCAGCGCTGAGGCCAGCCGCCTGTCTCAGTTATCGTTGCTCGAGCGTTGTCTGGTATCCGTCCGTCATTTGTCCGTCCTGTATGGAGTACGGAGTATCCGCCAGCGAGTTGATCTGAAGTGCCAGTGCCAAGCAATCAAGATGCCCAGTAAATTCCGCGTGTGACGGCATCGCAAAACGAAACCACCAGATAGGAAAGTTACGAGCTAGAACAAATCGACAAATCCGGAGATGATGTTTCCTCGACGCGAGATTGTCTTCTTACTCGGTGTTGTTAAGCCATCACTTGCAGAACGTGAGAACCATGTCACGGAACCCCATCGGTCAGGCGATGCGAATGTCAGGGCGGCCCCATGCCAAGCGTGCTGTCTCTGGCCGATGTCTCCCACGGACCTTGGCCATGCTTCAATCCCTGACAGCCACGAACGTTTATTCATGATCAATGGCTGGTTGTACGCTTAATCCCGGAGCGGGACGGTGGTAACGGTGGGAGCCTGGAGGGGACGGTGGAGTGGCCCTATCTCGGGCGCTGAATCGGTCTCGGTACGATGCTGCAAAATGGGGAAAGCGTGCAAGTTGAGCATCCTGGAACAATTCTCGGTGGTTTCCAACGGGCGTCGACCGCATGAATCTGTGCAATTTCTCGACGTAGCATCCCGTGACGGATTTGTACTGACGTTGCTGTAGATTGCATGGGTCACCTAACCTTGGTATTTCCGGAGGCCATTCGTAGATCCGCCGACGGCAGTGAGGATCAACCACATGGCACGGAGGCGAGTGTATTTTTGGTGCTTATGCGGATGCTGTGTTTCTGACTCGAGCCTACCCGGCATCAACAATGTTGTGCTGGCGTTAGAAGCCATGATTTGTTTGCGCAGGATCAA